TTAATCAAATATATATAAAAAAAAATTGGATAATTTGGCAGGGTTGATGGAAGATCACAATTGTTACTTAGAGGCATCGTTTGTGTTAGAGAGTATTAGTCGGGTGCTTTAAAAAATTTAAATATATTTTACTTGGTCAAATATTAGAAACTCATAGTACGGACTCGGCATGAAATAATTCCCCAAACCGACTTGATATGGCAACAAAATTCTCCAAAGGGATACCTATCAGTTAGCCTATTTCTCAAGACTATTATATCAATCCAATGTATTATTTTTTTTTTCAATGTACTATGTAATACATCACGACTGAGTCTAAGTCGAAGAATTAAGCTTTTGAAAATAAGTCAAAAATCGCANAATCCAATGTATTATTTTTTTTTTCAATGTACTATGTAATACATCACGACTGAGTCTAAGTCGAAGAATTAAGCTTTTGAAAATAAGTCAAAAATCGCAAATCACTTACTTTTCCAAACTCAAGTCTACTAAATGAGTTGTTTATATATGTATTTTTTTTCTAAACTTAGTTTTTTTTGGGGTTGAGAGTTTGTCTGATTTTAAGAGACATATANAATACATCACGACTGAGTCTAAGTCGAAGAATTAAGCTTTTGAAAATAAGTCAAAAATCGCAAATCACTTACTTTTCCAAACTCAAGTCTACTAAATGAGTTGTTTATATATGTATATTTTTTCTAAACTTAGTTTTTTTTGGGGTTGAGAGTTTGTCTGATTTTAAGAGACATATAAAATAGGAAAATTTTAAGCATAAAGCCATTGCTTTGGCCCAATGGTTGACTCACTCCTATCCCTGTATGTGATAGACAATTCAGACCGCAAAACAACCAGGCCTAGCCCAAATTTGGACCTAACCAAAGCATCTATGTTTTACATTTGGGGTGTCTGAGTTAGTTTACGGACACTTCGGTTACTTTTTTTTTCAATTCGGTCAAAAGCGGGTTAACTTATGTGTACTTCGACTAATCTCTTCCTCAATTCGGTCAAAATCAAGTCATCCACACTAAGATTAGGGTATTTATGAGGGATAAATCCCTCATGACCTAACATCAGATTATTATCAAGATTCAAACTCAGGATGTCTAGTTTACAGCTCGTCCCTGTTATCATTTGAACTACCCTTTAGAATTATGGAGCCNTAAGCATAAAGCCATTGCTTTGGCCCAATGGTTGACTCACTCCTATCCCTGTATGTGATAGACAATTCAGACCGCAAAACAACCAGGCCTAGCCCAAATTTGGACCTAACCAAAGCATCTATGTTTTACATTTGGGGTGTCTGAGTTAGTTTACGGACACTTCGGTTATTTTTTTTTTCGATTCGGTTAAAAGCGGGTTAACTTATGTGTACTTTGACTAATCTCTTCCTCAATTCGGTCAAAATCAAGTCATCCACACTAAGATTAGGGTATTTATGAGGGATAAATCCCTCATGACCTAACATCAGATTATTATCAAGATTCAAACTCAAGATGTCTAATTTACAGCTCGTCCCTATTATCATTTGAACTACCCTTTAGAATTATGGAGCCATTGTATTGAAGTAGACTACACCTAAGATTGAAACTTACAATTAATTTAATGACTATATTGAATAAGGTCTCACTCCCCACTACCAAATAGCATTATCCGAATTTTAGAACCAAAAAAATTTATCTAATTTCTCAACTGTAAACTTAATGATATAACATAGTTCAATAGAAGTGTTGTGAGAGTAACTCTTGCACCTCTTCTTTGAAACTCCATTTCTTCCAATAGTTGTGTTGTGATTCTGGCTGTTGGATTTTTCGTGACTCAATTACTTGTCATATCATTAATTCAAAAAAATTATTTTTTTTGATTTCAATAATATTACTAGAAGATTAAATGCTCTTTCATCCCTCATCTGTTGAAAAAAAAAGGAGACCATATATTAACAACATTATTTTTTTTTTCGAAGTTGAAAACTTTGACTACTTTTTAANAGGTCTCACTCCCCACTACCAAATAGCATTATCCGAATTTTAGAACCAAAAAAATTGATCTAATTTCTTAACTATAAACTTAATGATATAACATAGTTCAATAGAAGTGTTGTGAGAGTAACTCTTGCACCTCTTCTTTGAAACTCCATTTCTTCCAATAGTTGTGTTGTGATTCTAGGTGTTGGATTTTTTCGTGACTCAATTACTTGTCGTATCATTAATTCAAAAAAATTATTTTTTTTGGTTTCAATAATATTACTAGAAGATTAAATGTTCTTTCAACTCTAATCTGTTGAAAAAAAAAAGGAGACCATATATTAACAACATAATTTTTTTTTTCGAAGTTGAAAACTTTGACTACTTTTTAAGCCCTGAGCAAGGACAGACAAACGTGGTCCTCCACGAATTTATGTAGTGATCCAGCTTCTACATGTCTGTGTATCTATCTTCATCTTATGAACAAGATGAAAAAGAAATGAATTTTGTAGTTTTGTCGGCAAATAAAGCCACATGATTCTGCCCAAATAAACTAACCCACCTAAAAGAGAACCAAAACGCATGATTCATTTTGCCTTATATAAGTAACCTTTAGAGTTTAGGGGTGTGAATTTTTTCTACTCACATATTAATTTAACGTTCAATTAATACGAATAATAAATAATCAAATTAATACAAAAAATATTCATTTCCTAATATATTAATTATTATATGAAAAGCACCCGATTTTATCATACACTTGCTCCTTTCAAATTATCATTTTTTTTTAATGTATGACAGGAAAGTTTGATACTTACCCTCCTTTTGAATAAGTATCGAACTTTGATTCAAAAGTAAAAATAAGTTAATGGGTTCCTATTTATTATGAGTAGTCATTGGTTTTGCCGTCAAGAGGCTGGCTTCTTTTAGCATACTGAGTTATTGAGTGTATTGCATGCCGGCACCGGCTTGTTCATAGTCAAGAAATATATGGAGGGCAAGTCACAGACCAATAGTCTCATTTAAATCTCTCTTTACACTTGTGGTCCAAAAGAAAACACCATAATCTAAACCATTACCAAGTCCACAAGACAGCAAAAGTACCCCCCAACAACAGCTTCCTAGCAAAATTGGCATCCAAATCAATGATTTTTTATTACAACAGATTTTTTGGACATTTCATACTTCTTTTTGTTTCTTGCGACACAACCAAAATCAAATTCAAAAACTGTAACCCAAATGCATGTCATTCCTTAAATTAGTTNTTCATACTTCTTTTTGTTTCTTGCGACACAACCAAAATCAAATTCAAAAACTGTAATCCAAATGCATGTCATTCCTTAAATGAGTGGATGAGAATGATATATATTTAAGTTATAATTTTTTGAGTTTCATTTAAGTTATGTAACATTATTTTACTTACCAAAGTGTCATGCAGTAGGACTAAGTCGGGTCATGTGACTTTAAATCGTGTTGTGTTAAAAACTAACCAATTCTAGAATAAATCAAACAATGATAGATTAGTTCTTAGAATACTAATCAATGTGTGTCTCGTATTTGATAGTAGTTTGACCCATTTATTATTAATCTCATTTTGGAGTTCATGTCATGTTGATCTAATATTGGTGTAGTATTTTTGTTGATGGTTACATTTGACACCCCCATTGACAGTGTCCAACTTAAAATCAGCACTAACTATTGATCTAAGCAATAAACATCAGCCATTATCAATAAATCCAATGGAAGACTGTGTTCTTAGAGGTGCTCCTTCTTGAGTTTTAGGCAAGTGTCACTAGAATGGTGGAATTGACAATAGTAAATCAATCTATCCCTTGAACAACTGGACCTCTATGGAATGACAAAGTTGACAGCTATAGTTAATCTCGTTTAAGCAACTGGCTTATCATTCCAAATACTTCACTAAACCCTACTTAATTATGTACAAATTCACTCTAAATCCTCTCCAAAATGTGCATGCAAATTGAAGTAGATCACTTATCCTATTGTACTTTGAAACATAAACTAATGCTTTGGTAATCTTTACAGTTATATGGCATACCTGGGCTTTAGCTCATCCACTATAATATAAAATCAGATATAAATAATTTCAATGGATAGTTTAAGTGGTAACAAAGACGAATATTAAATATACATGTCCTGAGTTTAAATTTTGACAATCTCACCGAATTGGAGGAAGATTAATCGAGGTGCCAAAAAATTGGTCTGAATACTCCTGACCGTTGAACCAAAAAAAAAAAATCAGCTATAAATGAACGTCATATACAATCTTTGTTATAACTTATAAGAGAAAGCTCGAATTATGAAATTTTCAAAGTCACAGGTCTGTTTTTAGTCTGTGACTACTTGGCAAATTCACAGATTTTCATTTGTCTGGGCCCATTTGATTTTTTTTTTTTTGACAGGCCTCTAGAGGCCAAAATAGGACAAAAACAACAAAAACAAAAAAAAAAAATTCTTTGATATCTGAAGTTACACTCGTCTTTATGAGCTATCCTTGAGATTAACAAAATTATATTCTTTCCGTTTTTAAATATTTATCGTTTAAGGTTTTTACACAGGGATTAAGAAAGTTATTAAATAACTCTAATATGAGTAAAAAATAATTACACAAGACTAAAATATTCTTATTCAATACGTATTGTAAAGAAAAAAAATATGAAAGATACTTAACCTTCACCTAATCTAATATATTGAAAAATTAAGGATAAATTTAGAAGAAAAAATATTAATTATACTTTAATTTCAATAAATGATAAATATTATAAAAAAAATAAATTATGTAAAACGACGAATATTTAAGGGGAGACGGACGGAGGATATACAGTAGCAGCTGCCGATCAGGGTAACACCATATTCAAGCTCTCTTTAATGCTTTTGCCTTTGACTTTTTATTCACCGAAGGGTGTTCATTTATTACACTCTTCTCTTTGTGCATATGTTCTTCAAGGCAAAATATTTGTTGGTTTGGATATAGTTTCATCACTTTCCTCAGAGAGAGAGAGAGAGAGAGAGAGGGTCATGGCAGAAGCAGAAAAATATAATGAGGAAAAGAAAATGGGCTGTGGTCTAGTAAGAGCAGTTTTCCGGCGGCGGCGCTCGGGGCCAAAAAAACCACCAGTGCCACCACTTCCTAGAAACGGCAAAGTTAAGTTCCGGGGAACTAACACTTCCAAGAAGTCCACTAATCCAATGCCTCCAACTTCGCTTCATCATGGTAGAAGACCTTCAAAACCAGAGAGAAACTTAACACCATCCAACATCAATTCAAGTATGAACTCAATGTCACAAGTTGTCAATTTGGCATACACCAGAAAGCTAAGGAGAGAGCCAACTTTCAATTCAAGCGAGCTGAGCCTTACGATTTCCCGGCAACGGCAACCAATTGTAAGTGACACAGAATACAAAGCTTCCTCAAGCAACATAATGCTTTCAGGCCAATTCGGCAACTTGAAGCAATCAGGGACCAAAAATGTTAAGACTTTGGATTATCATCTTAGGACTGTCAAAAAAACAGCAAATAGTGAAGCTGAAACTACCTTTATCATGGGCAATATTGTGAGTGGAGAGAGCCAACAACTAGGAAACATATATAGTGGCGTGATGAATAAATTGGACCCTGATGTGTTGAAGAAGATGGGAAATGAGAAGCACAAGAAGGGAATGTACGAGGCGGCGCTGGCTCTATATGATCAAGCAATTGCCCTTGATTCGGGTAAGGCGTCGTATTATAGCAACAAAAGTGCAGCTTTCATTGGTTTAGGCCGTCTGGTTGAGGCAGTTTTTGAGTGTAGAAAGGCTATTCAGATTGACCCTTCTTATAATAATGCTCATTATCGTCTGGCAAGACTATATCACAGGTATGCAATGAATGAAAAAGAGACTAATCCTCTGTTTGATTACAGAGAAGTGCAAAAGTTGAAGTTTCATTTCAAAAATTGCGTTGATTGATAACAGATTAGGAGAAGCAGATAAAGCATTAAGTCATTACAAATGCTCAGGCTCCAAGGCTGGTACTAAGGACATTGCTGAAGCTCAAACTCTTCAGACACACCACAGAAATTGTACACAAGCTCAAAGTCTAAAAGACTGGAATACACTTTTGAAGCAGAGCCAGAGTGCATTATCTTTTGGTGCAGATTCAGCCCAAAAGGTGAACCACCTCTATTCAATCCCTCTTTTGTTATTTATGCCAAAATCAGGATCAAAATTTGATTTCGGTGTATAACGTTTTGGATATATTTCTACAATATCCCTAAACATTCATTTTCAATATTCAATCAATAATTCGTTATTTGCTTCCACCAAAACCAAAAATGTTTTAGCCTTGTGGTATTTTGTACTATTCAGCAGACCAATATTACCATGCTTACACTTGTTATTTTCTGGTTGTTCAAATAAAGATCTATGCTATGCAAGCAGAGGCCTTGCTGAAGCTCGGCAGACACCAAGAAGCCTACACCAGCATTGAGAATGGACCAAATTTTGACACTGAACTTTGTACCCGCTTCTATGGATCAGCTGGTAGTGCTTATTTGTTAACAATTCAGGCACAGGTTTACATGTCTGTGGGCAGGTTAGTTGAATGTTTGCATTAAATCTATCATAGTCTTGATGCATGTACATATGCTGTTATACCCTGTACTATTTTTGACATCAATTTTGTTGAATTGTGAACTTATTGAAAAAAATTATCATGAGTTGATAGGTTTGAGGATGCTGTGGCCATGGCTCAGCGTGCAGCTCGAGTTCATTCAAGCAATGAGATAAATGCACTAGTGAATAGGGCTCGAGCAGTCACGTTAGCTAGATCAAATGGTAACCAGCTCTTTAAGAAGTCCAAATTCTCAGAGGCCTGTGCAGCATATACAGAAGGATTGGAACAAGAACCATACAACTCTGTTTTGCTATGCAATCGGGCTGCTTGCCGATCTAAGTTGGGCCAATTCGAGAAAGCAGTAGAAGATTGTACCACAGCCCTCAACGGGCGACCTTCTTACAGCAAGGCCAGACTTAGAAGGGCCAATTGCAATGCCCAGGTGACTCACTGCCTATAAAAATAAGTCACCGTTGAAAAAGAACATATTTGCGAATTTTGTTCACCCATTCAGAATTGGTGGACATTACCAAACATGTAAGACATAAGTAGTTTAAGGGTCTAAATGTTGGAATTTGCCTGAAAAACGACTTGGGTTTAAGGAGTCTATCTTTGAAGATTCTGTTTGTGATGTCTCACTCTTTCATTAACCTTTTTCTTCTTGTGTTGGTTTGTGTGTACTGTGGTTAGTTGGAAAGGTGGGAGGCTGCAATTCAAGATTACGAGATGTTGATACAAGAAACTCCTGGGGATGAGGAAGTGGGAAGGGCTTTGTTCGAGGCACAGATCCAGCTCAAGAAGCAGCGCAGCAACGATATTGACGACATGAATTTTGGTCCTAATTTGATTCATATCTCCAGCGAGGGACACTTCAGACACTATGTAACTGCACCTGGTAACTAATATTTGTCCAAGTCTTGAACATCTTCTAACAAAAAGATTAGTCTCTTCAAGTTTTAATACATGGTATAACAATCAACTTTTTGTTCTTGTTCTTCAAATGAACCATAGGGATGTCTGTGGTGCTCTTCTGCAACAAAACATGCCAAAAGCAAGTGTTGCAGCAAATGAAGCAAGTCTGCAAGAGATTCCCATCTGTCAACTTTCTCAAGGTATCACAACTTTATTAGATGTCTTGCAAAACAGCGGTAGCATTTATGTGATGATCATCTTAATCTTTACAAACACAAAAACTTATTCTCAAATCATTTTATTCCTTGCAGTTGCAATTTCAAAAGCTTTAGCAATTTAGAAATATTGGAAGTTAATAATCATTGTAACGGTGACACCACCACCTTGAGATGTCACTATCTAATAAGAAACTAATCAGTGTATTTAAATCCACCAAATAGGTGGGCTTATTTAAGAGATTATATGTGGGTTTAGAAGCACTATTCATCTAGGAGTATTTTTAGGTGATAATACTGGACTTAAAATGTGTATCCAAACATGGGTATAAGTGAGATAAATTAGACTTTTTTTTTCCAATCCCTCTTTCCTAATATGTAAAACAAACACACCCTTGTTATTTTCTTGGTAAACGGTAATACCACGTGTCAGCGATGTCATGTTATCACCGTTAGATTGAATATTTTCTTCTTTAATTTGGCCCAAATGGTTCTTTTATTGACATTTGATAGTTCTGAATTTTGTTGATACATTTAGGTGGGGATTGAAGAACACCCAGAACTAGCCAAATCGGAGGGTGTGGACTCTGTGCCTGCCTTCAAGGTATACAAGAATGGCTCAAATCTCATAGAAATTCCCGGAGACAACTGTGAGCTGCTAGAAAGCTCTGTCCTGTTTCACAGCAGCTAAACAGAAGCAGAGGTTCTTGTGACTACACTGGAGGAGACTCTAAGCCTGGTAAGAAATGGAGAGCCATCCAGGGAAAAAGGATGAAAAATAAAGAGAATGGGCAGTTTTTTTTTTGGTAGAATTTTGGCAGAAAAGTTCTCAAAATGCAGAAAGAGTTAACCTGACAAAGAAACTATAGTGCAATTGGGTTGTGTTGATTATAATTCTCTGTATAGTGTTCTTTGTTCTCCAGCAACATTTCTTAATTCTTGACTTTCCAAATGAAAAACAACTGAGATTCTTTGTTTTCTCAAATATAAATGGGTAGGTTATTATTACACTTAAGAATCAAGTATTATTATTTTTTGGAATATATATTTATAGCAAATAAGTAATGCTTGAGGTTGAAGTTATGGATACCTTAGTGGTTTGGTTAGAGAGAACCCACATTCTATTCTTGAAGCTAGTTAGACTTTCGAGAAAGAAATTTATATAATGTTATTTGAATTTAATTTGTTAATCTAATTTATCACAATAGTTGTGTGTTCCAACGAATATCGGAAATCTAATGATTATGAATAATTAGGTTCAAGTAACATTGCTCTTTAATTAAGACAAAAGGGTTATTATCTCTCTCAAGTCTCAACTGGATGGAGTCCACAATCATGATCTGTATACTACTTAATTGGACTGTAAGATCATATATTTGATAAGGATTCAGAACCTCTTTAATATACTTTCTTTTCAATTCTCTTCTTAACACATCATTCACTATTAATGAGTGAGTGACCCATTTCTATACAATGGGTCCACTTGAATACAACGTGGATGACGTGCCAAGAGAAAAATTGAAAAGAAAATATATTAGAGAGGATCTCACTCCATTTAATTAAAAGTTAAGACTCGAGTATTCTTGTGGCATTGTAATTTTCAAGTGAAATTCATAAATTTAACATTGAATATTGGAAATTGATAATTCTTTCATCCAATTTGCAATAAACACCTTCAATTAGATTAATGTTAAAGTTGTGAGATAAGAACACAGTTCCCCCTCCTCCCACAAAAAAAAGAAAAAGATAAGAACACAGTTGAGGAGTCCATGTATAAATTGTTCTTGCTAGAGCCTTTCTTCTTAGGTTGGTCTGGCATGGCCCTAGTCTTCCTTGTTAATGCGTTAGCAGTAAGGCTGCAGACCACCCAATAATCTTCCAAGAGGCATCAGCAGCAGAGGACTTTGACACAAGGAATTTCCATCTTGCGATCCATTTCAACCTCTGTGGGCCGGAGAGTAGGTCCGAATTTGGGTCCCTTTCATACATTTTTTTTCACGACAGATCAATCACCACGAACTTAAGTGAGACCGATTATGTTCAAATATACCATTCATCAATACAGGATGGTGATCTACCATTAAGACAAATTAAAAAAAAAAAAAACAGAGGAGTGAAATAGTTTGAAAATTTACCCATCTTATCATAACTTCAACTGCACCAATCGAAACAAAAGGTAATTTCTCTAAAAGGAGAACAAAATGGGAGCATGATTAAGCCAAATTAAGGTGAAGACGTGGTATCACTGGTCAATAATAAAATATCAAGTGGATAAAGTGAACTCTAATTAGATAGTTATTTGTTTACGTGGAAGATGAGTGAGTAGATATTTCTTTAGATGAAATGTTGATTATTAATTTTTGTTTTTTTTTTGGGGTGAAGGGGGAGAGTGTTTGAACTCTTGACCTTAACAAAACAAAGCCTTCACAAGGGAACGAATACCATTGAACCAAAAGCCCGTTGGTAAAAGTGCAGATCCGTACAATGTTTTTTTTTTGGGTGGGGAGGGGAAGGGGGCTTGAACCTTTAACCCCAAGAAAGCAAAACTTTCACAAAATAAGGAGTACCATTAGACCAAAGACTCATTGGTAAATTTTATTTTTTTAAAGAAGGGAAGGGAAAAGGAAAAAGAAGAGGAAAACTTGAACCCTTAATCTCAAGAAAAGAAGGGTCTAGATATTTATTTGATATTATTAATTAATAATNAAAAAAAAAAAACAGAGGAGTGAAATAGTTTGAAAATTTACCCATCTCATCATAACTTCAACTGCACCAATCGAAACAAAAGGTAATTTCTCTAAAAGGAGAACAAAATGGGAGCATGATTAAGCCAAATTAAGGTGAAGACGTGGTATCACTGGTCAATAATAAAATATCAAGTGGATAAAGTGAACTCCAATTAGATAGTTATTTGTTTACGTGGAAGATGAGTGAATAGTTATTTCTTTAGATGAAATGTTGATTATTAATTTTCGTTTTTTTTTGGGGTGAAGGGAGAGGGTGTTTGAACTCTTGACCTTAACAAAACAAAGCCTTCACAAGAGAATGAATACCATTGAATCAAAGGCCCGTTGGTAAAAGTGCAGATCCGTACAATGTTTTTTTTTTGGGTGGGGAGGGGAAGGGGGCTTGAACCTTTAACTCCAAGAAAGCAAAACTTTCACAAAATAAAGAGTACCATTAGACCAAAGACTCATTGGTAAATTTTATTTTTTTTAAAGAGGGGAAGGGGAAAGGAAAAAGAAAAAGAAAACTTGAACCATTGATCTCAAGAAAACAAGAGTCTAGATATTTATTTGATATTATTAATTAATAATATCAGATCAACAATATGACCTGATATTATTCTCCTTAATCAGATGGTAAGGATGACAACAGTCTAGAAAACATAATTATCAAGTATCATTATCACCACCTAACATTATTTCCTCGCCATCATTTCTTTCCTACAATAATAGGCCAGTGGTTTGAATTTTGAAATTAGCAAAAAGGAAAAGTTACTAGAATGCTGGCGCAACAGCCGGTGAAAAATTTATTAACCTTAAAAATGTCATGCAGTAAAACTCCTTCAATTTTAATGTAACCTCTTTATTGTTTTTGGGTTCATGTAAGGTTACATGAAACTTGAAATTGTGGTTTCTAACCTAAAAGCTTACTAACTCTGTGTACGTGATAATTAAAGATTTGTAATCGATCTATTCTCCCAATCATTTCTTTGTACATGCTTGTATTTTGTGACTAAAGAGGAAAGTATTATTTAGAATTCGTCTAATGCGGTATAGGAGCTGGTGGCGAAAGGGAAGGGAATGTAACTCACCCATATTTCCTTCTTATGAGAGACGATTGAATTTAAATCTTATGAAATATTGTTGGGGCGTCTTGTATTCCACTTTTAGTAGAAAATTGATTTAGATTTTGTTCTCGTTAGACATTTGCAAAGGTGGATATTTTGAAATTCCAATTCAAATAAAAGACTAATTCCATACCCTATTGTATTAGGAGACAAATGGTCCATTTATTTAGAAAAATAACGTTAGAAAATGCAAAAAATATAAAATTTTTAAATTTTACATGTATTTGTTTAGCATGAAATGAAAAATGATAAAAAAACAATTTTCTTTCATTCTTAAATTTTTTCAAAACTAACTTATTTTTTTTTACAAAAAACATAAAGTTTTTTGGGTTTATAAACATATTATACATCACCCAATTTTTTTTTTAAGATTTTGACTCTCGGTTTTGGACATTCACGTTTTGTTTCGTTTCTTTCTTTGTAGCCATGGTTCATATCACATGAAATATGGTTTTACGATCTACGAATTAAAACTTCAAGAAGGAGGAAAAAATCAGGAAGCATATGGTAGCACAAAAATGTAGCCTTTTCCATTTATGCATCACAAATGTACATGGGAGAATAATCTTGTCCAATTAAACAACAAAGGAAAGAAAAGCTGTACAGATGTATTACATATTCAAATGAGAGCACAATTGAAGATTACAAACTATAAGCTAAAGAAATGAGAGCCAAGATTATGTTTTCCCTTACAGGAGAGAAAATTGATCGACAGAAAGAAATGAAACATCAGAAAATCCTAAAACGAAGAAATTTTTCTGAGTAACAAGAACAATTTGAAGTAAAAATGGAAGATTAAAAAGCAACCACCTTGATTATCATCTCTTCCAACTTCGACTCCTGGATAATGGATCTCTAATTCCACCAACAGTACCACCCCATTTCTCCTTTGCAATATCAGAAGAAAATTTGTAGAAATCTTTATCATATTTCATCACCACCAAGCTTTCTTTTTTCTTTCTCTTCTCTTCCTCCATTGCCAACTTTGCTTTCTTTTCTTCTACTGCTCTCTCTTCACCTTCGTCTTCATCTTCATCTTCTTCTTCATTTTCATCTTCATCTTCTTCTCTCTCTTCTAACCAGCTTTTTGCAGGAGCAGAACGACAACGCATGAGTAATAACGCATTTGATGGTGGTGCACAAGGTGCATCAACAGACTCTTCTTTATAGGACCTTTGCCTGTCTTTAATCTCTTCTTTGTCAAAACCATTGTTTTGGTTTTCTTGGAGAACCATGAACCATTTGGAGAAGACAGTTCTTGAAGTTCCATTATCATCACTTCCCTCCCTACCCACTTGGTTTTTCTTAAAATTTCCATCTTCTTCTTCATCACCTTCATCGTCAGAGGTAATTTCTGAGGTAGGAAATGAGCCAAAGCATCGAAAATCAAATCGTACACTACGTAAACAAGTCAAAAACTGCATTACTTCTTTCTTGAAACCAAGTGCTTCGATCCAGTGAGGTTTCTTCTTGTGCTTTTTATTGGTGTGAAGCCTTTCAATTTCTTCCATGACTGATTGCCAATTCTTGCATGGATTAGACTTGGGCCTAACTTTGATCTGTCCGGCACAAGTGACTTTTGGGGATGTCGGTTCAGAAATCTCCGAGCTAGTTGGCTTTGTTTTGGCCCATAAAAGAGGGCTGGCTTGGCCAGCACCACCTTTGCTGCTAGACTTCTTGGGATGATGGCGGTGGTGGGGATGGTGATGGGTGTGGCGGTTGTGAAGGCGTTTGTTGGGTTCTGAGGGCCTAGCTGGGCTACAGATGGGCTTGGGCATTAGGGTTAGACGAGCTCGTGAAGGAAAACATACTAGGAGATCTGCTGATGGAGCTCCTTTGCCTTCTCTACGATTCATTTTGCTCTTTCTCTCTCTCTGAGTCTGGGTGTGTGTTCTCAGTTATCTTAGTTTCTTTGCTTTGTAACTTCCTTGCTCAGCTATATGCTACTGTATTTGGGTTTCAATAACACTATTCGGACCCGTTTGGGTATTTTGGGGTGTTTGGATGAGTTTTAAATTAAAAGGTTTTGGGTGGGGAGTGAGGCAATGCATTGATAACTTTGCTGCCTTACTTTTTCTTGTATGTTCCTCTTTACCATCTGTCTATTCAATTTTCTGACACTCCTTTTTGCTCTCTTTTGAGTGGGGTCCCAAGTGACCTTCTTTCTTTGGCATCTACTTTTATTTTTTCTTTTCTAATTCTTGCCAAACTAATTCAACAGAGAAAGAGAAAAAGAAACAGAAAAGTAGCCCACGAGCCTGGTTTCGTGATCCAATCATATCCTCAACTTGTGAGCCCATGCCAGTAATCTTTTTTTTTTTTCCCGTCAGGGTTACGGCGTGAGTGATATTCAAGTCAATTTATAAATATTTTAATTAATCTTTTTTTTTTAATTTGATCAAAAATAAATTATCCACGTTGAGATTAAGATATTTATGAAAAATAAATCTTTCACAACTTGATCTTAAAGAATTATCAATTTTTAAATTCAAGACCTCTAAATTTATAATTTATCTCTATTACTACTTGAAGTACCTATTAAAATTAAAGAGTTATTTACCCACAAATTTGTCCACAACATTCAAACAAACCCTTAACGAGCTCAGTGCTTAGTGTTCAGTACGAGGCTATCACCTTATGAATCTATGATATTGGCATGAATTAATAATGATACGTCTAAGTGAAAGAATGGCCGCAAATACGTAATTTGTAAGGGAATAAACAGTAACATGTAGTTTGTTTCTTAAGGATAGAACCGGCACATCACAAGTTTAAAGAAAAAAAAAAGATTAAAATGGTGTCACGCAGTTTAAATAATGGGAAAGGTGGCCCCCCTTACCCACTGCATGTTGCTTTGGGATTAGATTTCGCTAAACTTTTGTTTAGGCCCTTCCTTGAAGTAGGTCAAATATACCCCCTTCCTGTTTGTGACTTATGGACACTGTTTCTATTACTATCTGCGTGTTAGGGTGTTAATCGATATGAAATTTATGAGTTGAAATTTAAGTCTAACGAGCTTATTTTTTTAAACGAGTTTAAAAATTTATTCAAGTTCGACTCGTTTAAAATTCAAGTCAAGCCTGAGCCGAACCTAAGTGACTTGACTATTTTACATATAAACAAATCGATTTTTGTGAGCTTAAGTCGAGTCTTTTAAATTCATTTTTTTAAATAAACTTAAAAAATTGTTCAAACTCATCTCATTTAGAACACGAGTCCAAACCGAATCCAAATAACTCGTCTCGATTAACACCATCATGTTTGTGTGAGAGAGAGGGGAACAAATTTTTGTTAATTATCTTTTCTTATGATTTAGGGGTAGATTACAGTACCAAAATGTAATTTATCAGTATTGTACCTCAATTTTTCATTTAATAAATTTTTTAATATGTTATTGCTTAATTATTTTTATATTTAATAATTATTTAATCAGACTAAAATCAACCTCTCTGAATTAATTTAGTTATGATGCCCATATTTTTTTTGGGTAATGGGCTTTTTATGATGTGTTTATTCAGCTTCCCTCTTTGACCATTCAGTTACCGGCTAAATTGATACAATGGCTTTTCACACAACAGCAAGGCATCAACTTTTAGCCGACCGACGAAAAAGCGTTTCTATGGAGCTTGATTAGCATCTTATTTTTTATGAATTCTTAGGAGTAATCAATGGTTTAGTGTAGTCTTTTGTAAATCAATGGTTCTAAGTTCAATTTTTTTTTTTTACGAGAGCTAACTACTCTTGTTTTCTTAAGAGCATGTTTTAACCTAATTCAAATCATAGTAATAATTATTAAGTTCAAGAGAATAGTCAGTACAAATTTGGACGCCTTCTAATAAATTAAAAAAAAACTTATATTTTTTTTATGACAAGCTTTAAAGAAAGGGTAGTTCTTTTACCACTTCCCTTTTCTTTACGGAAAAAAGCTTTAAAGAAAGGGAAATGATATGCTTATAAAAAAAATTATAAAAGATGCATTAAATAAATATGAATAATTAAGTTGGCGTGTCCCATAAAAAAATTAATGAATTTTACTAATTCAACTATCAATGTAATCAACAGATCTTTGGTTCAATGATACTATTTACCTTATTAAAGTTTTTTCTTTTTAAAGTTAAGGATTCAAGTCTCCACCCACTCCCCTTCCTCCCCAAAAAAAAAAGTTAAAAAACAAAACTATCAACGTTAATTTGTTGAACTTTTTGATAAATTTTGGTGGTAAGCATTATACAATTCTTAAAGAAAGGGTCCAAAAGCATGTGGGCCAAGAAAGAAAAGGAGTAAACCAGCAAAAAAAAAACAGAAAGAAAAGGAGTAAAAGGTGGGGTTAGATGCCATGTAGAACATAAAGTTTCATTGTAGCTTGTGCGACTCCTTTTATTCAATAGAGACATGCAGGGTTGGCATAAGATGGTTGGAGGTTGAGAAGTTGAGTTTAAAAAAGAAGTGTTCCTTTTGTAGGAGGTAGGTAGATGATGTTACCACCCCCAAAATATTCCTCCCTACCATGAAATGAGTGGGAGGCTAGAAGCATTCCATCTTCCTTTTATGCCTTTTACTTTGGTGTAACATGGATAGTGAGTGGAAACTTAGTTCTGGTTTAGTATGCGATCTTAGATTGTTATTGTATATTTTCAACTCTTATTCCAACTGATACTGTTGTTTTATTAATCTCCTCAATAGCTTAAAGAAGTTTATCTAATGATAACATACTTGAATGAAAACTAAGAGTTTACAGATGATCCATGTAATAAGCTACACCAATTAAAAAGTACAAAACTATTGGTTCACAAAGACCAATAGTCTTGATTTTTGATACATGGATACTTAAGTTAACAAACACACTTTTACTCAACAACTGACCCGCGACTTGGGACCAAATATGTTCAATGGGCTAAATTACATATTGCAATCTATTATGACAAAGCCCATCTGAAGCATGGGCCAAGTCTTACGTTCTAGGGAGTATTACACATAAATTTTTTGACATTTAAAATATTATACATAGACCCTTTAAAGTTTATATATTCATAACACTTAGACCCCTACTGTAAATTTATCCATTAATAAATTAAATTTAGACTCCCTTGAAGTTTATAGATATATAATACTTAGAACTCCAAAGTTTAAAATGTTATAGTTAGATAAAAAATATTTCAATTTAAGATAAAATATAAAATATTTTAAATTTTACGATTAAAATTCATGTTCTATTTATCTTTTATTGAAATAAAATCAAAAATAAAAGTTCAATTTTTTCTTAAAAAATCATAATTAGTATACAATTATATTATCTATTGGAATTCAATTAGATCGTTTAAATGACCAAATTAAAATACCAAACTTCCTCAATTAAAGGTAAAAGATATTGTGTCAATTACAATTTGACTCCTTATTTAATTTTTTAGTTTTATTCTAATAGCTAGTATAATTATATATTAATTATGATTTTTTTTTTAAATTAAAATTTTATTTTTGATTTTATTTCAGTAAATGATATAATAAAACATGAATTTTGGACGAAAAATTTGTGTTCTATTATGAATGACCTAGACCCTTTATTTGATTTTTTTAGTTTTATTCGAATAAATAGTATAATTGTATATTAATTACAATTTTTTAAGAAAAAATTAAAATTAAAATTAAAATTTTATTTCAATAGATGATAGCGTAAAAATCATTCGGATCCCCTGAGTTTTGTCTTAATGACAAGGACACCCCCTCACATTTTATTAATTACAGTGACACCCCTTATCATAAACGGAGTTAACAGACATTGTGCAATGACAAGAATAACCCTCATTTTATTTAATTATAATATTACCAGTCAAACCATAATATGTAAAATGACATAAATATCCATATGACTATCAAAACCCTAAAAAATCGAAACCCTTGTACAACCCATCGTTTGCCAGAGAGAGAGAAATCGCCTTCTACAACCTGTCGTTTGCGTTTAGGCGCTAACCCTACTCACTTCAAATTGAAACCTTCATCTTCCTCTTCCTCCCCGATTCCCCCACAGCCTCCATGTGTCCCCAACCCCCACAGATCTCAGCACATCTCGAACTCAAAAGCCCTAAATTCCACAATGTATGGGCTCCACCAGAGATCTAACCCTACAAGTTGAAGTGACACCTATTGGGCGTTGATGCCAAACTCAAACTCGGATCCTTCACTATTCTCGTATCTGACCTCATTGATGACTCTTCTGCACTGTAAGCCCCTTTCTCCTTATTGGTTGTGTTGTTGCGCTGTTTGTTTGGGTTTTCTTAGGATCTGTGCTGCTAGAGACGAAAACAATTTTAGTCTAATGTCATTTTATGAAAGATGTCAGTGGAGTGGGCTAGATGTCGGTGGAGTGGGCAGTGGTATTTTGTCAGTGGAGTGGGTTTTGCTGACTTGGGGGCATATATGGGTATATGGTGTATATGTTTGTCGGTGCATATGGTGTAGCAGGGGGTAATGCTTGGAGGTATGGGTGGCTGGGCTACTTAAGAATTTGTTGGTGTTTGTCGGTTGAGGGCTGGGTGGCTGGGCTGCTAAAGTATTTATCGGTGTTTGTATATTCTGGTCGGTGAGGGCTAGGCTGTTGTCGCTGATTTGTGGCTTTTACTTCCCAATTTTGTTTTGAATTTAATTAGGCACCTCTTTAATTCCCAATTTTCTTCTTTAATTATGTATGCAACATTTTTTTTTGTTTCGAAAAAAAATTATTTCTTGAGTCTGTAATGATCATCGGTACATTACTGTCAAGTAATCAAGTTTTGATTACTTGATTAGCACTGTATTAAGGTTGATGGGGGAGTTGCTTTGGTAATAATAGAGTTGTAAAGTTTGTTAAGTTGTCTCACTTTTGCTCAATGATGAGAAAAAGCAGACGGGCGGTTAGAACCTTATGTCGTGTTGAGTGTTTGCAAATGTTCCATTTTTTGGAATGTCTTTGAGAGGAAACTGTTTCTTGTTGGTTTCAAATGCATTGAGATTGTATATGTTCATCCTAATTTGTGAGGTTTTTTTATATTGTGATGTATTCCATGGTTTATATTTGCTTTTTTTATTTTTTATTTTATCGTGGCTATGTTTGAGCAAGTGAATTTGTAATGCTATAGTGTTACTGTTATCTTTTTGCTGATACATGATAAAGGATGATATGTATTTGAATTTTAACATTTGAATTTCATTTGAATATGCATATTTTACGCTTTCTTAGGCATCCTTGCAGATTTCAAATCTTTTGCAGCTACTATACTATCGTGTATTAAAATTCTTGTAACTCAGTTTAATGGTTTATACAGATGTGCTGTGAGATTTCAGCACTCGTCGTCATTAGGGAGAATATCACTGTCACCTACAAGCGACACCTACTTGCCGTTGATTCTCTTGCAGCCATTGGTAAGTATTATGCCTTTTATGCGATGTTTTTTTCGTTTATTGAATTTTTGGTTTGATGTAAAATTGTAGTTGAGTTTTGTTTTTTGAAATTTGGGTTGAATTAATCAGGTTTTGGAAAAAAAATGGGTGAGTTTGAGCATGATATAGTTGTCCATAGTGGTATAAATGTAGCATCTGAGGTTGAAAATGTGGATACAGATGCTGCAAATGTTCAGTTTAAGGTTAGAAATGTGGAAACTGATGTGGGAGATAATGATAAGGAGGACGATGTATATGGTTTTAATTCTGAGGATGATGATTGGAGAGGCGAGGGTGATGATGTTCTTGATTCTAGGAATGATTGCTAATATGTTGGGCTAATTAACACATGTGAGGAGTGGAATGCAAGTAATGATGGTTTCTCAGATTATCAATCTGGGAATGAAGGTGGTAGGAGTAGTAGTGATTCTGATGATGTAGAGTATATGAAGGGTGATAACAAGCGAAAGAGGAAATCCAAAGTGTACGATACATCTGAATATGAGACTAAGTTTCATGTTGAGAATGGTGGAAACTCTGACTGGGATTTCTGTGTGGGGATGTTGTTTGAGAATATTGATCTTTTTAGGGATGCTTTAAGAGACTACATCATTAAAAAAGGGATCAAAGTGATTAGGAAGAAAAATAAGAGGACTAGGGTCACAGTGCATTGTGCTGCTGAAGGATGCAAATGGAGGATCCATGCATCACCTCTTCCAAATCAAGCTACATTTAAGGTGAAGAGTTACAAAGGTGAGCATAATTGTATTAGGTATATGAAGGTAGATAAGGCAAACAACATCTGGATTGCAAAACAGTTACAGGGGGTCATCAAGAACAACCCAAAGATAACATTGGAGAGTATGCAATCTGAATTGAATGATCGATGGGAAATTGAAAGTAATGGTAGTAGGCTTTATAGGGCAAAAATGTGGGCTATGGAAGCAATAGAGGGTAATCATAGCCAGACATTTGAGTTACTACCAGCCTATGTTAGACAAATTTTGAAAAGTAATCCTGATTCTGTTGCACTTATTGATTATTTTAAGCCTTCAGTGAGTGTTAATCCCATTTTCAAGAGATTTTTCATTTCATTTGGTGCCATGAAGAGGGGGGTTCAGAGAAGGTTGTAGGACTTTCATTGGTCTTGATGGTTGTCACCTCAAAGGGCCATATGGTGGGGTTCTTGTAGCTGCAGTAGCACTGGATGGAAATAAAGGATTATTTCCAGTGGCATATGAAATCGTTAAAAGTGAGAGAACGGAGAGCTGGGGTTGGTTTCTAGACAATCTGCATGTAGTTATTGGTGCTGGGGACATGTCCCAACCATGGACCTTTATGTCTGACAATCAGAAGGTATTCTGTTTCTATTTTTGTTTCTTATTATTCTGTTTTTATTTCCTTTAATAAGTCTTATTATTCTATTTCTATTTTTTGTTATGAACTTAGGGACTTGATAAAGTGTTTGAGAAGATTTTTCCAGGAACTAAGCATAGGAGATGTTGTGTGCATCTTTTCAATAATTTCAAGTCCAAGTTCTCNATTTCTATTTTTTGTTATGAACTTAGGGACTTGATAAAGTGTTTGAGAAGATTTTCCCAGGAACTAAGCATAGGAGATGTTGTGTGCATCTCTTCAATAATTTCAAGTCCAAGTTCCCTGGACTATTACTTAAAAAAACTTTTTGGAGGGCTGCTAGGGCCTATAATGTGGTAGGGTTTAGGGACAACATGGAGTTAATGAAGTTACATGACTCTAATGCTTATAATTGGCTTTTGAAAGTCCCTGTACATACATGGGCTAGGCACACATTTGATGAATTTGTGAAAAGTGACCACATAACCAATAACATGTGTGAATCATTTAACAACTGGATTGTACTGCATAGGCATAAGCCAATACTCACTCTTTTGGAAGGAATTAGATGCAAGTTAATAGTGAGATTTCAAAAAAGGTACCACAAAGGATGTGCATGGGAGGGATTAGTCACCAAAAACATTAAGATACAATTGAAAAAAGTTGTTCAGGACAGTATGAAGTGTCTTGTATTATTTGCTGGGAACTTGGAATTTGATATAAGTCATGAGGGAACACGATATCCAGTCAATTTGGCAACTAGGATGTGCTCTTGTAGACAATGGCAGATATCTGGGATTCCTTGCATTCATGCAGCAGCTGCAATAGGATCCTAAAGAGAAAATATTGAAAAGTATTGTCATAGAAGTTACACCAAAGAGGCTTATTTACTTGTTCATGGAGATATGATCCATCCAATTGTGGATCAGAAGATGTGGGATCCAATGGCAGAACCTCTACAACCTCCACCCCTACGCAGGCTGCCTGGAAGGCCTAGGACCAATAGAAGGAGAACTGTAAATGAGCCAGCAGCTGGTACAAGTGACATGAGGAGGTCCCAAACAATAAGGTGCCAAATTTGCTTTCAACTTGGGCATAACAAAAGAACATGTCAAAGAGCACCAGTTAAAACGAAGGGCAAGAATGGTGGTGTGACCAATAATAGTCAGGTAAATAACATTCTACCTATTTCATTGGAATACAATTGATGTATTTTCTAATTGTGTTCTAATATGTAGTGCAATGAAGGACCAACAACATCACAAACAGCTGGATCACAAAGTAATTCTACTACCTCACAGGCAACTTCCCAAGTAAACACAGTTGAAAATTCGACTTCAATAGAGGGAGGAGTAAGGGGATGTGGCGGGGGGGCTCAATCAGCTAGAGTTTAGAGGCTTGGAGGAGTATAGATGTGCATATGTTATTTTTTGTGAAAAAAATATTTTTTGTCTGGGAAGGATTAGGGCACGTTATTTTTTGTCTAGGGTTAGGGCACATGTTATTTTTTGTGGGACAAGTATTTTTTGCTGCAACACCATGTAATATCTTGTGTCACTGCCTAGTTATATATGAAATATTACACCATTTTGTCATTTGAGTTGAACATGAAATACATAGATACATGTGTACAGGGAGGCTAACCCCTGTTATGAGGAAACTTTTTGTTTGATACAGAAAATCGGATTTCTGTTTTTTACTACAACACCATTAAAAAATTTTGTTTGTAACAGAAAATCTTATTTCTGTTTGTAACAGGAAATTTTTGTTTGATACAGGCTAATCCCTGTTATGAGGACAAGTAAATTTTTTCAGTTTTGTAATAATTTTTCCGTTTTGCTTGTAACAGAAAATCAAAAATTGTTTTTTTAATAGGAAAACATGAACTAGATTTTTGGTAGAATTTTTGTTTGTAACAGAAAATCAGATTTTTACTTGTAAAATGTCTTGGTTTCTACTTGAAAATCATATTTTTGGTAGAATTTTTGTTTGTAACAGGAAAATCTGTTTTTTACTTGGTTGATTCTTTTAATAAAATGTCTTAGTTTTAAAAACATCTCAAAGCTTCATATCAAAGGTTTAATGGAGAGAGAGAGAAAGGGTATTTACATAGGTTTACAGTGGGTTCCAAAGCCTTCCAAGTGAGTTGTGATGTGTTTTTAAAGTGCATTGAAGAATATAATAGTCTTTCTTTTATATATTTTTGAAAAAATTTTAATATATAATACTTAATCTTACTATTGAGGGCTAATTTTAAAATTACGAGGATTTTTTTAAGATGATGTCACTCTTTTTCTTTTTCATTATTGGTCGTCATGGAACGGAGGGGGTGTCCGTGTAATGTGTTCCAAATGTGAGGGGGTGTCACTGTAATTAATAAAATGTAAGGGAATATCCATGTCATTAAGACAAAACTCAGGGGTCCGACTGATTTTTATCCTAGATAATACAATAAAATATAAATTTTAATTATAAAATTTAAAATATTTGATATTCTATTATTACTTAAAATATTTTTTTATATAAGTATAATATTTTTAATTTAAAAAATTTAAACATTATACACCTACAAACTTCAAAAAAATTTAAGTATAATTTATTAATTGTTATATTTATAGCGAGTCTAAGTGTCTGTAATTTTTCAACCATAAGAGTCTAAAATCTGAATATAATTCTCCATACATTCTATCTCACTCGCCATTGATGATCTGGATGAAACCCTAAATCCTCAGATCAGGTTTCGGGGCGACAGCATGATGATTCGTTGATTCAACAGCTTCAGAGCTCACTTGCGGCTAACAGAGAAAGTCTAGAATTTGAATTTCTTGTAAGCTCAGAATCTTGACAGGCAAGTATATTTCATCTCTACAAACATGTAATTTCATAAAACACAACCACAATTTCTGAAGAAAATGACCATGCATTTCTCCAGAAGTCTTGTCTCACTCTCTCTCCAAAACCGTTCACATCTCCATAAACCCCATATCTCTTTCTCTCTATCGCTCCTCTTTTTCTCTTCGTCAACACCGAAAGGATCCAATTCTACAATTACTGTCTCTGATTACTTTGTGTATAAACATCAATTCTCTCCTGAAACCGCCGCAAAAGTCTCAACGGTATTAAACTATGTGAAGAACCCAAAAAAGTTTGATTCTATACTATCATATCTCAAAGAGAGTGGTTTGTCGGAGACCCATTTGGAAATTGTTGTCCGAAGAATGCCCAGTGTTCTCTCTGCTAATCTCGACCAAACCGTCAAGCCCAAAATCAAAGTTTTCCAAGAATTGGGCATTTCTCCGACGAGCATTGCCGAGATAATCTCGGGGAATCCTCGGGTTTTGAACAGTAGCACCGTTAATTGGGTTGGTCCCATATTGGCTTTGAGAAATACATTAGGTTCGAGTTTTGATGTGCCTAAGTTCTTAATGGCTTGTAGGTGGTTTCTGAGATATAAGTTTGAGAACACTATGCTGCCCAATATTGAGTTGATGAAGAGTCTTGGAATTAGTTCGTCTCAGATAATGAGGTATGTATATAATTATCCGAGGTTTTTCTTGCAAAAATCGAAAATTGTTCACGAATGTGTTAAGAGATGTGATGAAATGGGCTTTGATAGGAACTCCAACATGTTTCTTGTGGCTATTCGGTCTGTAGGTTCAATGTCAGGTAAGAATGGGAACCTAAATTGGAAGTTTTTCGGAGATTAGGGTTTACAGAGGATGATATCCTTTTCGTTTTTTGGAGGGTACCTCAGGTTTTTGCTATTTCTGAGAGGAAAATTAACAAAGTAACGCAGCTTCTGCTTAATACTCGCCAATTTGATATCTCGTTTATTGTTGAGCATCCGGAATTACTTATTTTCAGCGTTGAAAACAGGCTTAAACCTCGGCTGAGGGTTCTGGAGATTTTGGAAAATAAGGAGCTGCGTCGAAAAAAGCAGAGTCTGACAACAATATGCAAGATGTCTAACAAGAAGTTTTGTGACAAGTTTGTGCTTCCTTATTCAAATGAAGTTGGTAAAATATACGTCTAGAGAACGCTCATAGAAAACCAAATTTTATGCTCTTGGTTGAGAGTTCACGAATACATCCTTATTGGATCAACGCAATCTTTTGTAGGTCCTGTGAATTAACTGTTGTAGACAGGTTAAATGAAGAGACACTGTTTTTCAGAAGTGAATCACCGGTGTCTCAGAATGTGGTGGCGTATAGATACTTTTTTCTTGATAGATACAAATTTTTCCCATTGTATTCTCTCTGATACCTGTCTGAGAAAACATGGATTACTATCTAGGTTGTTATTGTAAACTCGCATTTTGGATGAATTGAAATATCCATGTTTATCCTATTTTCTATTTCAATGGAGACATCTAAGTGTTGAATTTGGCTGATTCAACTTCCATTCTTATTGATAGGTCTGGTAGAAAAGTTCATATCTTCACTGATAGCCAATTCTCCCATTCTTTCTATATTAGAGTGATGTTTCAGCTCTCAAAATCGTATACACTCATGTTTTGATACTTCATGCATTCTTAACCTTTTGATATTGTGAAATAGGCATGAATGCAACAAATGTACCTCTAAAGTCATGATTCTTGGAACTCTGAACCGTTTCCAATGCTCCCAAGTATCTTGAAAGAAGTCTGCAACAGCAATAATGTTTCTTGTCATACTAGATTTAGCATTCATCTATTAGATCTTTTTAGTTGTCTCTTTTTCAGCAGAATGCTACAAAATTCCTTCATAGGTAACTCTTGAGAATAGTATATCACTAATATGGGACTGGATTTGACCAAAAATTTCAATATAAAATAGAGAAATAAGTTTACAAAACTACATATCGAGAAAGATAAATTATCAGGGGTACAATGTTTCTACTAGGATCCAACTTCAACTTCTCATAAGTCCAACAACATGAACAAAGGTGATGGGGGTAGTGTACAACTCTCAGTTTTTGTGACTTTTCTCGGTATGGAATTTGATTAATCATCAAAATTACTATTTTATTATATTTAATGATTGGTTAATTATATATTATTTGTGATTAAATGTGTTGAATTCCTTGATTTTTTAGTTTGATACTTTTTCTAGTTGTTTGGTTTATTTTGTAAGTAAATTGATTGATTTAAAGTAATAATAGATAATGCAAGTGAATCAATTATTAGAGGAAGAATCGCAATTGATAAGGATTGAAGAGTCAAGATTGAATAGGAAGACTTGAAGATATGATAGCAATTTAATCTTTATAAGAGTCCAAGGTAGAAGAAAACTCATTTAAAGTTGGATTAGGAAAGTATTCTAGAAGAATAAGGATTTGACACATCTTCAGCATTTTGGTCATAATTTTTTACTTTGATTTTTGATTTACTTGATTTTTTAGGGCTGGAAAGAAGACTCCAAGGGCTACAAAAGTATATTTCATGAAAATTTCGTGATTCAACCTCTAAATATGCAAAATCCAAGCTTGAAGTCTGAACATATTTTGTACCCGCGCTCTAAAGATTTTATTCACGGAATTTAACCTTACAAGATTTCTTTTTGGAAAGAAATTCCTTCCAATACAACTTTATATCTTCTACCTATATTTAGGGTTTATTTTTAGTATAAATAGGGGTTCTCATCTAAGATTTATTAGATAATTCTTTTTTCCATCTTTTTATTTTTAGTTTTAATTTGTCATGTCTGGTTAGAAGACTAAGCTAGGGTTAGGGGAGAACTTCTCAATGAAATACGGTAATGTTATTGATTTTGAGTTTAATGATTTATGATATTTTGTTAATTTAACCTCTGATCTTATAGCAAAGTTTTTGCTCTGTAAAAATCTTTGAGTTGTTGTGTCATATATATTGATTACTTGAATTTTTCTGCGAGTAAATAACTGGTTATTCCATGCTTGAGGTAATTATCATTATTTCATAAAATAATATAATTGGATGATTATTCAGGTTCCTAAATAATCTTTTGATTATAACTTTTGGTTTTCTTACTTGATTTATTATTTGAATCAACCGACATCTGATTCTTATCTCAAGTTAAGATTTGACTCTTTAATCATTATTGTACGGAATTAAGAGGGAGTACCTGATGTTTTAGTATTTTTATTATATTGTTTTAATTACTCTAATCAATATTTTCTTAACTTAACAATCTCTTAAATAAATTGTTCTTACAAGTTTGCTTTTTATTTGTTTTGTGTCTCTTATGTTTTTCAATTCTCTGTGGTTCGACCTCGGACTCACGAGAAATTTATTACTTCGCACAACTTGCACTTGGGTGATCAATTCTAAAATTGTAGCAAGTTTTTAGCGCCGTTGCTGGGGAATTGTTTGAAAATAAGGAACACACCGTCATCTATTGAGGTTTGCCGAATTTGAGATTCGTCACAGATCCGGTAATCTCGTTCTTTTTTATTTTATTTTATTATTATTATTTTTTATTTATTTGTTTTATTTTTCCATAGGTTAGATATTTTATAATATTTATTTTATATTTTTTAATGTAGTGTGAAGATTTTTCCTGATGGGGGAACTGTGTGAGCTTTGTGATGTGTATGAGCATCCCATTGAGGTTTGCCCATTAATTCCAACTGCTCGAAAATTTTTGAGAGACGGGACAATTGTCTTACCTAATTCTTTTCAATCCTACTCCGACCATGGTTCTGAAAATTTTTATCCCAATTTTGGTTGGGAGAATGAACATTATCAGTTATCTATATATGTCACATCACCACATGACCCTCCTCAATATCCACCTTACCATGACCCACAAGAAAAGAATTTGGAAGACATTCTTTGTAAATTTATACAAAGCCAACTAGCTTTCAAAGATAGTTTTTGTGAATTTGTGCAAAACGAACTAGCTTTCAATGAAAGCCAACAAGCTTTCAATGCTCAAATAAGCCAAGATATCGAAGAGACAAAAGATATGCTCAATACATTAAAACAAGAACAAGAGGTTGACAATAATCAATATAATGAGAGTGATTCTTTTCCTAAACTACAAATTGAAGATGAATTTATTAATACTCTTGATAGCGAAGAATTAAGTGACATTATTATTCCACAAGAGGCTAACGAGCTCAAAGACATTTTATTATTAACAAGTAGTAATGAGATTCATATATCTAATCTTGGTAAGGGTATGAAAGTTGAGTTGTGTGTTGTAATTGATAAAAATCTATTTGTTATCTCATTTTTAGATTTGCATAAAAAATGTATATATCTCCCTTTTCTTGCATGTTCAAAAGATATATTGGGTATATGAGTGGATAGGTCGATTAAATGAGTTACTTTGACACCATATTTTTAAGCCAATAAAATTGAATAGACACATATTCAAATCCGACTTTATACCGGATTGAGTGTGACATTTTATTTTTATTTGTACATAGTAGTTAGATTTTATTTTATTTTTTTGTTTAATTTTAGTTTCTTTTCTGTTTGTTTCAATTTATAGTTTTCTTTATTTGTTGAGTTTTTATTTTTAAGTTTTAGAGCTGTTGCTGCACCAGGTATTCCTACCGCTTTGATCTTTATTCATTATTTTTATTGATAATTAAGATATTTATTTTTACATTGAGAATAATGTTGGATTTAGGTTGGGGGGGTATAAGTATGTTTTCTGTTGTGAAAATTCCTAATTTAAGTTTATTTATTTTGCTAAAAAAAATAAAAATTAAAAAAAAAATTGTTGGTTATTAAATATTTAGATAACATTTTTATGCATAAATTGACACCACAATATAAAAATAATTTGAGTTACTTTAAATTTGCAGCTGTTTAAGTATCACATAGAATTTTATTCTATATTTTTGTATCTCATATCATATTCTTATAAAAATTCACAATTTGTACACTTTGGACTTTATCAAATTAAAAATTTACTAGATATTTTACCTTGAGAACTTGAAACATATAGTGGAGATGCATAAAAATCTTGGTGAATTTTGATACAATTTTTTTTGAAGGATTATTTACATTTACTCAATAAAAAATATTTCTATTCAGCTAATCTCCTTCAATAGTCTCATTATTTTTATTTTAGTCAACACCAATATTATGAATGATTGCTTAACTTTAAATTATTTGCATGGGGAGTGTGTTATCAAAAGTTCTTGAAATATAATTTTAGGTCATCTTTGATATTATTTGAGGCTAAACATTATTTTTTGAATATTATTATCCCTAGAAGTCATGATTGAGTTTTGAAATAAAATTTTATTTTATTTTTTTATTACCCAACATATAATAACTAAGCCAATGAAAAAAAATAATATTTTTTACCCTTGGTTATCCCGAGATTGAATTTTTTATTGTTTATGTAATTTGAGAGATATTGGTTAAAAAAAGATGATAAAAAAAGAGAGTTTTGCATACTTATGAATACTTGTATTAGATGTTTTGCTAAAAAAAGAAGTATATATATTTAGTTGTCTTGCTAAAAAAAAGGAGAAAAAATTGAAAAGAGAAAAAAAAAAAGACAATATGTTTAGCTGTGAAAAAATAGATTGAAAGAAAAGAGAAAAAAAAATAGCAAGCATGCGTTTGAAAAGAAAGAAATATGAGCAAATATTATAAATTGTGCTTCTAAATAGTGGAGAGTGAAAGATTGTGGAAAGAATATTGGTTGTGTAATGTATATGTTCTCTCGGGATAGTCTTTTGAATTCCTAAATATCCTTTGTTTCAAAACCCTAGACCCAAGACCCCATTACAACCTTAAATAAAGACCTATTTGATCTCAAGAGTGTATTGGTGGATGCATGACTTGTGTGAATAAGGAAGAGAATTGTGATTATTTGTTTATTGTGTGTTGATTTCCTTTCATGAGACTATGTCAAATCTTTTTTTTTTTTGGATTACATTTTTTTTAATGAACATGTAAGCATTATTTTGTTTTGATCTAAATATCTTCTTCTCACATGTGATATTTGAGGGAATAGTCACTATAATCTGAGAGAATCTTTTATGAGTGAATTATCTAGTGAGATTTGACATTGAGACGAATAGTTGATAGTTGTAGAGGTGATTATCAAATAAATTGCTAACTTAGTATAATTAATTTACACTACACACGATTTTATATGGGAACATGATAAGTGCATACATTTATATAGCATATAATTCTATAGTTTGTTTTGTATGTACTTATAAAAAGGTTTGTAACTCAGAATTTTTATATTGTGGTAGTAATTTGTGTTATAAAATTATTATTCAGATATTTGATCACAAGGTGATGTTTGTGGGTATCATCTCTGAAAATCCTTACGAGACTATACTCGTCCACTAGAGGGAATCTAAGGGTTTAAAGGCTTGTTGCATATGCTAAATGCAATCGCGAGGCTTACAAAAGTGGATTTATGTTTTATTTTATTAGATTATTTAGTTTTTAAGTTTTAGTTTTTAGTTTTTAGGATTTATGTATTACTAGGGACTAATAATATTTAAGTTGGGGGGTGTGATTAACCATCAAAATTGTTATTTTATTATATTTAATGATTGATTAATTGCATATTATTTGTAATTAAATGTGTTGAATTCCTTGATTTTTTAGTTTGATACTTTTTCTAGTTGTTTGGTTTATTTTGCAAGTAAATTGGTTGATTTAAAGTAATAATGGATAATGCAAGTAAATTAATCACTAGAAGAAGAATCGCAATTGATAAGGATTAAAGAGTCAAGATTGAATAGGAAGACTTAAAGATATGATTGCAATTTAATCCTTATAAGAGTCCAAGATAGAAGAAAACTCATTTAAAGTTGGATTAGGAAAGTATCCTAGAAGAATAAGGATTAGACACGTTTTCAGTATTTTGGTAATAATTTTTAACTCTGATTTCCGATTTACTTGATTTTTGGGGGCTGAAAAAAAGACTCTAAGGGCTACAAAAGTGTATTTCACGAAATTTTCGTGATTCAACCTCTAAATATGCAAAATTCAAGCTTGAAGTATAGACAGATTTTGTACCCGCTCCAAAGATTTTATTCACGGAATTTAACCTTACAAGGTTTATTTTTGGAAAGGAATTCCTTCCAAGACAACCTTATATCTTCTACTTATACTTAAGATTTATTTTTAGTATAAATAGGGATTCTCATCTAGGATTTATTAGATAATTCTTTTTCCCATCTTTTTTTTTTAGTTTTAGTTTGTCATGTCTGGTTAGAAGACTAAGCTAGGGTTAGGAGAGAACCTCTCAATGAAGTACGGTAATGTTATTGATTTTGAGTTTAATGATTTATGATATTTTGTTAATTTAACTTCTGATCTTATAACAAAGTTTTTGCTCTGTAAAAATTTTTTAGTTGTTGTGTCATGTACATTGATTGCTTGAATTTCTCTGCGAGTAAATAACTGGTTATTCCATGCTTGAGGTAATTATCATTATTTCATAAAATAATATAATTGGATGATTATTCAGGTTCCTAAATAATTTTTTGATTATAACTTTTGGTTTTCTTTACTTGATTTATTATTTGAATCAACCGACATCTGATTTTTGTCTCAAGTTAAGATTTGACTCTTTAATCATTATTGTACGGAATGAAGAAGGAGTACCTAATACTTTAGTATTTTTATTATATTGTTTTAATTACTCCAATCAATATTTTCTTAACTCAACAATCTCTTAAATAAATTGTTCTTACAAGTTTGCTTTTTATTTTTTTTGTGTTTCTTGTTTTTTCAATTCTCTGTGGTTCGACCTCGGACTTCCAAGAAATTTATTACTTCACACAACCTGCACTTGGGTGATCAATTCTGAAGTTATAGCAGAATTGATTGCCACCTTTTATTTAGTTTCATTTGTTACTCATCCGCCTTCCTTAGTGAAATGCTCCTAGCAAGATAGGAGATTACTTACTTACCAAATAAAAAAGAGAAAATTACGTAGGATCAAATGTCCCAATTTTTGTGGCTTATATCTGGCCCTATCTGTGACACTTAACGATTTCAACATCACGACTAATTGTTGTTTCTTGTTTCTTGCATCACTTCTCCATTTGTTTCATCATTTAAAAATTTAGGATTTTCACGCTGCTCCCGGCTGGCTAGATCTTGCAACTATGTTTTTGAAATGATTCCATGGACAATGATTGGTGCATTGCCTTCCTGTCATAGTCTTTAGTGGATGATTCCTAAGTTTAGCAACTGTAAGGATGGTGCATGAATATAGTAATGCTACGCTTATTCAATTCGTATTCCAAAATTTTCATCCCCAAATGATGCATTATATCTACAGCCATTAGATAAATGGGTCTCAGTTTTAATGGTGGTGAATTGTGGTGAATATGCCATACCATTATGGGTGGAAGATTTGATATAGATTTTTTGTAAGCATAGCACTACTTCCATGGATATGTTGGCACTGCACCAGATGTTGACTGCTGTAAATAGTCCTGTCCATTCTCAAGAATGCTCAAATCACCTAAATTCATTGCAAGCGCTTTTAAGTGTAGTGCTTAAGCATGTTCATTCTGCCAGAGTCAAAATATGCTTGGGCAGGGTTGGATGTACATTCCACCCTGCCACTGATGCGTAGTAGTACCCTTTCACATAGGTTTAAATGTCAGCACTGAGCTCTTTATTGATGTTGTTCGAATTTCTCCACCAGAGGGCTTAAATAGCTTCACTCCCACCAAATTACATCACATTCTCGTCTTGAAATTATGGCTTTTGAGTAACCCAGAAATTCCTGTTATCAACTCAAGACGAGGCTGAGAAGGGTTTCAGTGGTTTGGTGGTGCCTGTGCTAGGTTCTGATTGGTGTTTTGGTGGTGGCTGTAGACATGAAGGTTTGAGGATGGTCCTTTGGGTAATGGTGCTTTTAATGGTGGGATGGAGTTGGTGCTTGGTTGTGACGAATCTAGTGGCCGAGGACGGTGGTTGTAGGTTTGGATCCAAATCAATTGGATGTAATTATAATTCAACATTAGTTTTTTAACCAATTTTGACCAAGATTAAGTCAATGTAAAATCCTTAGGACCTTGAGAATGAGAGAGAGAAGGCAAACAATAATGCTCTTCGAACTACAGCCAATTCAACAATTTGTACACATTTATCAAACTCAACAAGCTATCCTAAATATATACAAAGAGTGGTAGCATAAGTAGTAGAGAAAAAGCAAAAAAAGACCTAAAGGAACAGCGATGCTAATCCAGTAAGATAGTGTTACCTGTAGTTCCAATCCCCTCTACATCTGGTAAGTATACAAAAATAGCAAAACAAACAAGCAAGAAAAAGTGTAGAGACACCAAAAACTGTAATCTTTGCCTTATTGAGCATCAATTGGCATCCACCACCACAAGCCTCAAGATTACCTCTTCACTTTCGAGTTGAGTCCTCACAGACAATTCAACAAACACTAGAAAGAGTTCATTTCCAGAAGATAGCCCCGCCTCTTCAGCAACTTCTCCACTGCCTCTCCATACTCCTCCGCTTCTCCACGGCCGCCAAACGCTCCACGAACCAACCCAAGATCCTCCGCTTCGCTTTCCCCACCCTTCCCCACCGGCTTGACCACCACCAACGTCGCACCCTCCATTTTCACCCCATCACCAACCTCCAACTTTCCTTCATGCCTCAACCTCATCCTCACCGCCGGCACTACCGTCCTGTTGTTCCTCCACCACACTCCACTTTCCCCCACTTTCACCTCCTCTTCGCCGCACTCTCTACATTCTTCAAGCCCATCCTTGACCATCACAACCACCCCTTCACTTTCCCTATCACTTATTGTCAACTTCTGCAGATTTTTATGCTCCCTTACCACCTCTAACATCATGTAGTGTCTGGCAGACGCGGCTATCAACGCACTTATCGTCCACACCACCCTCATCTTTAACCCTCCATCTCTGTCAGGACCTTCACAGAACCCCATGATTACGCAGCTCTTTAAGGTCTTCCCGAACTCCGCTCTCCACTTGATTACTGCTCCTTTATCCAGTTTCAGATCACTGGAGGGTAGTTCGATTTCGAGTTCTCTGATTTTGTCGAATCCGCGGAGGATTTGTGTCGGCGAGTTCTGAATTCGGGTCACGTTGGGAAGTGGTTTATAGGGGTAAATAAAGTCGTGCAGGGACTTGAAGATTGATCTGAGGAAGGTGATGAGAAGCGAGTCGTCGGAATCGGAGTCGGTGGTTGAGATGACTCTGTCGACTCGGAGTAGGAGTGAGTCGGATTGTGGGACGAGCGAGTTGAATCGTTTGGAGACGGAGCGGCATCGGATTAGGGTCTTAACGTCAGAAATTTGGTCGAATATGAGGAGGATTAGAGAATCAGGTAAGCCGTCGAACCCGTCGGTTGGCTCTGAATCGGAGACTGAGAGTGGAAACATTGCCGGTGATCGGAGAGTCTTTAATTTTCCAGTGAATTTGTGGAGGTGCCTGTAATTTTCTGATGGGATCAAGGAGAAGAGATCACGTGGTTATTGGTGGGATTGGGGCTCGAAGACCGGAGGGCTTTTGAGCATAGCGAAGGTTTGACCGTTGACCGGGAAGGAGAGTGGGGCCTTGCAAAAAATGCCGGCTCTTGCAGAGAAGTTCATAGGTCATTCTTGTGGCTTGCTTTTCCTTCTTTTGATTTTGATGAATCCTGTCTTTACAGAGCTCCTGAAGGGTGCTGAGTTGGAGTCATATATCCTTTTGGATATATTTCAAGGATTCATCTTTAATTAAATATGAACATGTTATTTATATTTTAAATAATAATTTTTTTAACTATATAATTTAAAATTAAAATAAACAGATAAAATAAGAAATAGTTACGAAAGAGAGAAGACAAAGGTAAGCCTAAATCAATGAGATTATTTGATATTAAAGAGTGTGTTGGTTGAATTATATAATGTTATAATTTTTCATGATAATATGTGACATTTGAAGTGCAAGTATTTTTTTTGATCGTGAGAGGTGATATTTTTTTGTCAAGTTGGTTGTGAGAGATTTTTTTTTTGTTACAGGGTATCTAGACTTGTATCGATTGTTCTCTCAAGCTTTGAGTCGATTATCATAATTCAAACTAATTTAAAAATATGTCCCTTGAGAAACAAGGGCGATAGCCTTTAGAGAGTATTGAAAATATCGAACATGAAACTTCTTTTTTTTTCAAGAGGGCATGTTTGACAATTGAATAACCCTAAAAGTTCGTTGTAGAAGCTCTATTTTTTTTTTTGATAAGAGGTCCTAGAAGCTCTTGGTTAGAATGATTTGATACCATATTAAAAATTTGAGCACAAGATTGAAACCAAAAAAAGAACTTAAAGACTAAAATGAAAATCCGTGTAAACCTGTACCAGAGATATAATTTTATTTTTTTTGAAGGGGAGGGGGAGGGAGAGGGGGACTTGAACTCTTGATCTCAAGAAGGCAAAATCTTTACAAAATAATGATAACTATTGAATCAAAGTTCCATTGGTATTAGAGATATAATTCATTTTTTGATTTAGCAAGTAGAACGGCCAATGCATGTTGGTTCTTTCACCTCCTCTTCGCCGCACTCTCTACATCCCTGCAGCTTCGTGGACGTAGGCAAATTGTCGAACCACGTAAAATCTGTGTCTTGTTCTTTCTTGTTTCTTATTGCTTTATATTTTTAATTTGTTCTTCGATTGTGTGTGTTTGTTAGTGGATTTAAATCGTGTGAAATCCCAACAATGCAAGGCGACGTAGAGATGATGAAGACATGGTCCAATTTGACACCTAAAGAAGGATTGCCTTTGATAGATAATTTTGGCCGACCTACTTTTCTAGTGAACACTTATGGATCACGGGGGTTCATTTCTTTTTGTGTGCTCATAGGGATTGGGATAGAGCTACCACAGCTACATGGAATTTATGTTGGACCATGTCAGATCTAGGTTCTGTTTCAAGGAATCCATCCAACCATTGAGCTACTTCTAACAGGTCCCAAGATGGTGCAAATGAATCCAACCGACCACTAGATTGTTCATGTTCGGTTCATTTGTTTATAATTGGGATCATTTTTAAAGCGTGATGGATTTTAAATATCGGGTTAAAATTCGACCCATTAACTTTCTATTCAGACTCTAGCTAAGCTAAACTTAACTTAAAAATCTAAGCTTGAGTGATAACAGTCGCATTGTTAATGAAGAACTTGACTCATTTGCAGAATGAGTTACACGATTATGCATGCATGGTAGAGTCTTTCTAGCTGCTGGGGATGCTAACCATTAAACTGGGATTTGGACCTCAAAGATGTCTTATGTTATTGGTTAACCATTGAAGCATTAAATGGTTCTATGCTTTGTGATTTTTCTTTGGGGGTAAATGTTCTATGCATGTGAGTGTTTAGCTTCTTATATGATCTCTTTGTCAACTCTGGTGGTACCGAATATATAAGGCACTTCATGTCATCCTAGCATTTCACTTTTCTAATGGTTGTTTAAGGTTGATTACTACGTACGCTAGCTTCTCTGTATGCTAATAACACAGTAGTCTACTTCAGGAAATGTTATTTTAGTTTGTAAGAAAATGGCAACTGCATCATGCAAGAAAATGCTCGACTTTTTCTATGTGTTTCAATTGGTTGTGTTGTGTCCTTCCTGCCAAACAAAATGTTGTTAGATTCTAATCATTCCAAATGCATGGCATTTCCTACCAAATTTTAAATTATGTTGAGATAACCAAGATATATATATTGATCAATTAAAAAATTCGATCGTCTTTTTTGGATTTTTTTTCCTTGGAAAAACATTATAATGTTGATACGTAAAATACCTTAGACATATCGGTGTTTTCATGCTTGGGTCATATTTGTCTCATGATAACTTCCATGGGTTGCTGTTGCCCTCAACACAACCTAGGTACACTTGGTCTATGGCAAATGAGGCACATGGCTGAACATGTCATGAAATTACCTTGAAATGAGGGGCTCAAACTTCCCCGAAGTGTTAGATCACACACCCTTAAGAGAGATCGAGCTGTGTTTTATGTCGAACATGTGTTAGATATTGAGACTTTTTAAAAGTGTGACATATGTACTTACATATATGACTTGTATTTATCTGTTTTCTTGAAAATTAAACCATTGACCATTTTTTTTTATTATGTTAGAAATCATATTGCCCATTTTTTATTTTTTATTTTTGGTAAATATAGTTAAGAAGTTGACCAAGTAAAAAAATTCTAATAATAGGCCTTTTGATTGGGAAACCCTTTTCTCAAACATCCGTCCTCTCTCTTTGCTCAGCCTCAGATTGTTCATGCAATGCAACCACCTCTTCTCATGCAAGCCACCACATCTGTCCAGCCTTGCCCTTAGCTCCCTCCCTCTCCCCATCCTTCCATGGAGGAGCGGGAGCCACCTCCCGATAATGCAAACCACAAACCCTCCCCGAATGGACAACCGACCACTCCACCAGCAGAGAGTGCAAACCATGACCCTGCACCTGAATCATCTCAGTCTGTCTTTCGCTCTGGAACATATGTTGTCCAGGTTCCCAAAGATCAAATTTATCGCGTTCCACCAACCGAACATGCTCAGCTAGCCCAACAACGAAATGCACCTCAACAAAAGAGACGGTGTTGTAATTGGTGTTTTTGTAGCCTCTTTGCAGTTGTCATTGTCCTAGTTTTTGGCCTGGTAGGAGGGGTTAACACTTTTTTCCTCGAGCATGATAATCCTTCGTTTATCGTTGAGCATTTCCTCGTCTTGAATCCACCTCATCCTAATCACCAGCAGCATCCGGACTATAACATTGGATTGAAAGCCCAAAATCCTAACCAGCACACAAGCATTTTGTATGATCAGCATGGTGATGCATGCCTCTCTTTTAAGCATAAAGAAATTGCTGTTGGAAAATATCCTCCATTCAATCAAAGCCCCAAGAATTCAAATACCTTTCGGATAGTACTAAATGGTTCAAAAATTGCATTGCCTAAAGAGATTGAGAAGGGCATGAAAAACAAAAATTCGAAAGAACACGTTTTGTTATCTCTATCAATGAATGTCCCAGTGCAACTGAAAACTGGGGCATTGAAAACTGGGAGTAGGAAAATTTCTGTGGATTGCAGTTTGACTGTGGATACACTGGCAAAAACTGCTCATATCCTGTCTCAAGAATGTCATACCAGAGGCTAACTCTGAGCAAGATATCAGCTGGGGCAGCTACATGGTGAGGGCTGAGGTGGAGGTGGCGGTAATATTTTCTTTTTCAGATGTTTTCACATTTTTGTCGTTTTTTTTTTTCGTAGTGTAGTCAGGTGATAAATGATTGAAGAGTATACCCTTGTTATTTGGTCTTTAATTCTACTAGCTTGTAATCTTCTAGGGTGGATATTGTTAAACAATTTAAAGAAATACAAGAGATAAGAAAAGAGGAGGCTAGGGTTTTATTGATACTGTATAATTCAATTGAATACAAGGAATTAAATTAATCTAAATACAAAGAGACTATATATAAGTTAAACAAGGCAGGAAAAGTAAATGACTATTCTACCTTTAATAAACAAAATAAGCCTATATTTCTTAACAGATATAAATCTGGGCATTGACACATTTCTTTGCTTAATGTCCTGTTGCATTCTGACCCAACTGTTGACAATTGTTTTTTTTCTCAGGGAAAGTAGATCTTTTTCCAACAGAATGTGCATCCAAAAATTTGAATCTCTCTCTCTCTCTCAATCATGTTTTTTGTGTTGTAATTGTTTGATTTGGAATCTGAAGGTACTTAAATAGGTCCAATATTTTTTTAGGTTAATTCGTGTCGATAGGTTAAGACTAGGAATTCAGAAAATTAAGCACATAACTGATATTGCAAACAAAGACTTGATAACAGTTAATAGCAAAATAGTCGACATGATAGACCGAGTTAAAACTCTGCTTCCTCTGAATAAATAAGTCTATAGATTTTCTATTTGAAAATTAAACTGAAAGTCTCGACCACTATGAGATCGCCTTGTGGAAAAATGTACAAATCATCTTTATATGAATCAACAAGGCAGTAGAAACAGCAAATCAACTCATGAAGGAAGATATATAGATCGATGCAGAAGTTATCTAAGTTTCGCAAGCCAAGCATTGTGAAAATTATTTGTGTGGTTACTAATTACTTCTCCCTGTTGGGCATGTCAACTAACTAGGTGCAAGAAAACTTCTCTTAACATCTTTACATCATTTGAACATTTTCCTAACTTTTTTTTTTTTGGTTGTATTCATCTGAAATCATAGTCTCATTCTGAAATGAGCCTTGGGGAAAACATGTGGAAGTCATTTGTGAATCAATAAATAAGGGTGAGTAAATTTTAGATCATTCTAAAGTTGAGATAGATCAAAGTAGAAATCCATGTTCCAATGGTGTGGGTCTCATATTATACACTGCCTCTGACCAGAACTTACTTCCCTAGTTGTGTGGTACAATAGATGCAAATGCCTCTGGTTGATCTTCGATATATGACAAACCATGCATGCAATGTCAGACGATTCAATATTTTATGGAACATCCATCACGGCGAACAAAATGCCTGAAAATATATACACCATGGGACAAATGTGAGTTTCAACACTAAATAACCACATGAACCAAACATGCCTGGGCACTGCTTTGCAGCATCAGTTCATCAAGGTCTGCACTAGATTAAAGAGCCAACATTAAGGTGATTGACACCACTGGTGGTTCTCATCACTGTCCATGATGTTTGAAAAAGCCCCCATTTGTCCGATTAGGCATTTGAAGCAGCCCAATGTCTAGTTCCCCAATGTATCTTCTAGCCAAATCATTTCAAGGTCATTTGATCACTGCCTTTTTCAGCCCTATTGTATATGCTTCAGAACCGCTTAATTTGATGTAAGCTCCCATTTTCATGTATTATCCTCCTTGAGGACATCAAAGACCACGGACAATTCTGTGTAAAGTCTGACAGGGGAGGTCGTAAGAAGGAAAATAGTGAACCATACTAGCTTTGCTAGACGAGGGTATATAAAATGGTGATGTTGTCACAACATAAGCCTCTGAGATGGAACTTTAGCAACATTAAATCAACTTCAGTTCCTCTTCACTCGATGAAGTTCTTAGAAAACAACTCGCCATTCTCTCTGAGAGTACACCTATAAGAAAGTAGATCTAACTTCTCTTTGGGAAGCACACAAGTGGCCTCAATCTTCACAAAAATGGATTGCAATATTTACTATCGAGTTTAGTGAAAGGAAACTGTTGTAGATCACTATACTTGAAGAAATCCTAGTGAAAATGGCAGCATCATGTCTTATTGTTGTTAGGTTTGATCAAATGCTGTCTGGCCTTCAACTACCCCAAGAGCCGACCAAACAAGAACAACGGTTATAGCAACTTAGCCACAAAGATGAAGGCATTTTGCCCAAGATATTACTTAGTCCATACTTCTAGAGACTCAAAGTGAATCTCAGTTCACAAATCCTAACAGTGGTCAATATGTTTCCTCCAACGAGTACGTTTCTGATCGCTTCCAAGCATGGACAGACATAGGTATGAAGCAAATCTATCCCCACTTGGCTTTCCAAAGCTTAGACAACTTGACCTGGGACAACCCTCATAACTACTAGTAATGTGGCAACACAAGTTAGGCTAGATCCTTTTTTTCTCAATTATTTGCCCTTTTCCGTTCAGGAGCTGGGTTTTCTTTATAGACTTGAGCAATTAATTTTGATGATGCTTACCAAACATGAACAAACTGTAAGAACTGGTTTACTCAATTAGTTAGTAGATGTGCATATTAATATGTTTCTTATCAATATGATTGAATTTGCACTCCGTAAATAAGGAAGGAGGTTCCTTCCCCTCTTCATTAGTTCATTGACCTAAAAAATTCATTGCGCTTCAACAAAAGGATGGTATGTAACAGGGTTTTTCCTTCTTAAAAATTTATATTTCTCTAGAGAAGTGTGTAAACATGTCTAATGTGATCAAGACCAGCTATCCCTCACACCATTTGAAGATTTCTTTCAGTTTCTGAACTGCTGACTTCTTTATCCTTCTTCAAGCCTACTCATTCTGACCCTCATCTTTGTGATGTGGCTTCAGTTAGACCATACTTATTGTTGCTCTTTGCATTGTAAATTTACTGGTGGTGAGATTTTCATATTTAAAATAGTCATTGCCATATAGCAATCTGTAAATTCTTAATGCTGCCAAGAGAGAGGAGCCAAACTACAGCAACAACCATACTGTTATTCCAACACTTTGTGTTTGCTTCCTCCACCATAGACCAGCTGATTAGAAGCATTCCATTATTCCTATAACACTGGACCCTCGGCTCAACCATCAATGTGGGGACCAATTTCGTGGAGGGACACGTGTATGAAAAGTCTATCAATTTCTCATATTTCAATGATTCTCTTTCTACTACCTTCACTACTTTGCAGGGGAACAAATCCAAATGTTCATATCTAATGCCATGGTCTAAATAATGGAAGCAGAACATTTCATAGTTATGAGCATGGCTCTAATTGTTCCACATCATTGTCTGTTTATTATTCTTAAGTGGAAAGTTTCTAGATTAATTCAAAGACTTTTTGGGTAGGGGATGGCTGGGTGGGAGCACAGGAGGGATTAGAACATTAATTATATCTAAGTTGCCTCGAAAACCCGCTTTACCGGAGATCTAAACTTGATTGTTTTCTGACCCCATAGTCATGAATGATTTGAGTCGTGAAAGCTGTTAGTGTGTGGCTAGTGTGGCTAACCTGGTTTTCCTAGGGATGTACTCCTTTTTCACCAATAATTGGAGTTCCATATGAGTTAGTTTATTTCAGTTTAAGGCAACAATGCTGGGTTCAATCTAGTGGAAGCCTTTCTTTACACGTCTAAAAGAGAGGAAGCTTTTTTCCACGGCCTGGAAGCATATTGGTGTCCTCATTTAATATCAATGTCCTCTTCACATCAAGCACTTTAAAGTGGAATCCAACTCTTCTTCAACCCATTGATTTCTTCTTCCAAGAAGTGGGTTTCATTTTCACCACCTAACTCTCTGAAAATAACCATTAAAGTGAAAGTTGGATCGATTTTTTCAAAAACCAGTTTGAGATTCGTTTCATCTTTCGAGGTGGGCTCTCACGGATCTAAGCACCCAATAGTGTATGTCTAATCTTCTGTGCATGTGCAATGAGATTTCTCCACTTATCTAGGGTCTAGTATCTTAAACTTGACAAGATCATTGTGCCTTGGAAGTGTGTTCTTAATATCATCAATCAACCAACGACTTTGTGTGATGCTTAATGCGGTGAATGTACGGGCTCTTAGACATTAACTGTGTTCATTATCCAAAAAGGGCATATAATGTGTTCAAAATTCATTCTCTTGCTACGAAATCTCTCTCTAAGTTGATATTATTTGATCTCGATCATGCCTTCTCTTGTCACTGCTGGCAAAAGGTAAGGAATAATTTGTATGGAAGGTGGGACAAGTTAGATCAGACTAAAAGCATAATACTGATAATTGCTGACTTGAAAATCAGAATCCATATGTTATTTTTAGTAGTTACTTGAATAGGTGACTTAGCCATGAAAGGCTACAAAATTAGAATTTTATGCAAATGAGAAAAAGACAGCTAATTATACGCCTACAAAACGCCTCGGTTAAGCCAATAATTGGAATTTGATGGCATTGAAATGCGACCCAGTATCCTGATAGAACAGATTGGTTGGCAATAATTATGGCCAGTACTTCTTTGGCTATAAGGAATATAGAACACTATGATGGAAGAATCTTGTTCTCACAATAATCATTCATGGTTTTGAATTATGATTGAAACTTATCATAAGCTTTTTTGTATCGTGTTCGGGTTGTAATACATAAGGTATAAAGCATTTTTTTTCCACAAGTAGGAAAAACTGTCCAGTTGGAAACAAAAGAACCAAAACCATTTAATCTAAATAATGGTGCAGTGCCTAATTATTTGTCAGAAAAGTGTGTATTTTAAGCTGCAGTCACGATCAGATGGGAGGTGGGAATGGTTTGAACTCCCAAAAAGCTGCTTGCATGCTCTGCTTAATCAATTATAATTAAACCATTTAATTGAAAGTTACTAAACCTTTATACAAGGCCATGAATCGTGTTGTTTCTGACTCCCTCAAATGTCTTTACAACTATTGAGATGCTTTTCCATTATTGAATGTTTAGCATACTGCAACTGTACGTAGAAGTATTGAAGTTCAAGGATTCATAGTATTTTTTTTTCACACTTTGACTACTTCAATTTCTTTTAGCTTGTGTGTGCAGCAATTTTCAGAACTCTCTCCCTCTCTCTCTCTCTGTTGATTGATCATAACAATGCCTAAACGTTGGAAATGGACAGAAAATATGCACTTATGCTGAAGCTTAGAACTTAAAAGAACTTAGCGCCTTTGCCTAGCTCTTAGCTGAATAGGGACACAAACTGCACTACTCGGTTAGTGTGACTCAACATGACAAAAACCTTTATTCCAACTATATAGATCACTGGCGTGCACACGAGCATTAGTAACTTGTCAATGGTGACAATGAATGAATATGTGGGGTTTTAAGTTAACTTTGTTAGGAGAAATGTGATAATTGTACAAATTCCATAGCCAAAAAAGGCTTACTTATATGGTGCCACAGAAGAGGCAGGTCCCATTTTTATGCATGGTGGAAAATTTTAGTGTTGACAACCTTTCTCCAAAAATTTTCGCAGTTTGAAAATTTTGGTAATAGAATCCTTTTCTGGTTTCGGCCTAACTTTCAACCTAACATGGATGTCTTCCACAGTTTATTCCATTACTTGTTTGCTTTGGCATTTGGCATCAATCCTCACTTCTATAGAAAAACTTTTGTTGCTCATGGAAGGAAAAGGTCAATTTTAATCAACGTGTTGTACTAACATTAAGTATCTTAAACCCACATGGATTGGTTCAGTAGTTCAACAAAAGTCGACCATGTAGTAAACTCGTAATTTTCATGTATAGTTTTGAGTTCTTCTAGAAGAAAAAATCTCTTTTGCATAACCAATGTATATGGATTTGTTGTGATTGCACATATTCAAAATTTAAATTACAATTATGAGTTCAAAGAACGTGAGGTTGGAAAGATTTCTCTTTTAGCTTTTTTCTTTGGATTTTCGAACTGTATGAAAGCTTTAATTAGTTTATTCTTCGCATGTTTACAAATGCAAGCCTGCACGTGCACTGCCCTGATTGCTTTAGAGGCAGCATGAATCATGCACGAACAAATAGACGAATGCGTTCACACATACACATAGTCAGAGAGGGAGAGAGTATTCAAATGATATCTTACGATATACTAATCGAAATACATTTTGAAATTACAAAATTTCTTTTTTCATTCACCAATTTCCATTAAACAACCAAAAAAAAAAAAATACATAATTTCCTAACCCACCCCACACAATATTTCAAGGGGTAGAGTCAATTTTATGTGTGTTTGTTAGGCACTCTAATGTCTTGATAGCAACGATCGTTTCCATTCCACCAAACGCTGCAAGAAGTACATAACCTACAAGTTGCAAGAAAAACAGCGGGTTTAAAATTTAAAAACGACAATTCAATTCATTGCACGAGACTCTAGCTACAAGAAATGTATTAGAGGCATAGTTACCTCCGACGGTTCTTGCAAAGAGTAGGAGGCATTTGTTTCCTTCGGAACTTTGGACACAAGAATCCCTATCCCTTGACCTCTCTTACGCAAAACCTGATATTTTTACATGCAAAAATAAGTTAAAATCCCATTACCTGAATGAATTTTACCAACACAAACTTCATGAAACAAGCATATGTAGGTACCTTGAATCCATCCTCGTCGGTCCGATCATCGCCAATAAAGATTGGGAAAACATTACTAGAATTTGCATAGCCTGATAAGATGTAATTAACATAAATAATTAGAATAATGAACATTTTGTTGGTAAATTAATCATATGATAAGCAATTGAAAATTTTGATGTGTGTATGCTTTTGATTTTGGACAAAACTCACCTAGTGACTTCAACAAGAATTCGAGGGCTTTTCCCTTGTCCCATTTGATGGTCGGTCGAACTTCTAGAACCTGTTTTATAGGCAGAAGCTAGTGATCAGAGGTATTCAGGTGCATGTTTCCTTGGTATTTAAAGTTGAACATAAATATGAATGTTGACAGTACCTTCCTCCCTTGAGTCAGTCTTAGCTTTGGATAATCCTTGAGCACTGATCTCACTTGCTCAGCTAATGCATCCCACTTCTGTTATAGATTTGAGAAAACCAAAAAGAAATCTATCAGTGATATTAATTACAGTAATATATAAGCGATACCCAGAAAAAAAAAATTCAGTATCATAGTGATGAAGATGATTAACAGGAGATTTGATTTTTGCAGTTTGTACCTTTTCATCCACACAGCGGAAATGTACGGATATGCAGAACTTGTTGTTTTCTACCGTAGCTCCTGGGATGGATTTTGTTTCTTCCAACAAAGCTTTGTACACCTGAAAGAAGATAAATTGGAAAAAAAAAAATTTAAACACCTACAATAGTCACATTATTACTAAACATATTTTTCTGAGTTTTGTTAAGAGAAGAGAGAGCCAACCTCATTGATCATCGGTAAAAATTCTCTGGCGGGTTGGCAGAGAACGGATTGATTACCCTGAATAAGAAAATAATTAGTACAAAAACATTAAAAAAAAATTAAATGAGACATAGTTTTTTGTGAAGTTTTAATGAAAGTGGTTCATAATTGCTCACTTTTTTGTATTTGTGACCTGTGGTTGGTCCCTTGATGTCCATGCCATGGCTGCCTGCATAATAAAGCTCTGATAATCCTATAAAACTATAAACCTGCAAATTAAGCAAACATAGAAATAAGTAATTCTCTAAATCAAATACAATGAAGCTTGAAAGGTCAATAACAATGGCTATGAACAAGTATAAAAATGTACCTTGTCTCTGCACCTTCCACTCACTACAGCTGTAGGAAAATACTTTGCAACATCCCTCACAGTTTCTCTCATCTGATTTGAAAAACAATACGAAAGAAAAAAAGAAAAGTTATTGACTTATTAGAGGAGGAAATTGAACCAAACTGTTTGGAATGGTAATCGAAAAACAGACCTCTTTGGACATGAAAGCTCGATCCGGGTCCTCCACAATTGGCGATAGTGTGCCATCGTAATCCAGAAACATTACTATCTGCTTCCCCTTTGAAGCATTCATGATTTCCACAAACATGCTTAGTGCTGAGGGATGATGAAGCTGTTTTTCAAAACAATTAAGAACGTCTAAGAAAATTTTTGAATGAGACATGAAAGCTCTGGATTAAAGCCAATAAGGTACGCCTTAGTTCTGTAAGACTTACAATCCAGGACTTTTGATCTTCAGTTTCAGATGAGAGAGTCAGAGCAGGGGCAGATTTACGAGTTGGAGAAGAAGCTCTCATTGAATCAACCCATGCATTGATCTTGGTTCCTTCACCACCACCACCTCCAAGCTTGTTCAACAACTTTTTTCTTGAAATGGTGACATACCCACCTGGAATAGCCACCGGCTTTGTCACCGCCGGCGAGAAAAGAGACGAGTTGGTGAGGGTCAACGTAATTATGGCCGATTCTTCATCGGAAACCACCACATTCTGGTTAGTCATTTCCTCTCTTTGTTCAAAACAACAGACCCTGCACTGAAGTATATATATAATATATAGTCATGAAACCACAAGTAAAAAAAAAAGGCAAACCCATTGAAGGAATATAAAATAAGGTGAAGGTAAGTACCTGGAAAAGGTATAGAAGTTTATGGGCAATGAAAGAGAAGAAAACAGAGGAAGAAGAAAACAGAGGTCTCTGGCGCAAATCAATGGAAGCTCCCAAACGCGCTAATTCACAAGTCACAGCGAGGTTGTGTCAGTCAATTTATAAGTAATTTTCACAGCACTAGGGGACGAACCATCCCCACTTTTTCCAGCTCCGCTTGTACTTTTTTGTATTCTTCTTTTTTGTTAGGCGAAAACTTGTATTACACTTAGTTTTTTGACCTAAAAATTTTACCTTAATAGATCTAATAATGTGTATGTAAATAAATATTAGTCTATTAATAAAGAACTCAAAAAGTTACGGGTAAAATAATATTATTTGACCATATCATTTATCTTGTTATTAGGTTAAATTTTTAAATTTCAATAACGTTACTCTATTTTAACGTAAAAAGTGTATTTATAACACAATTAAAAAGTTGACACAAATTAAAGTCAAAAAAGCAATCACTTTTAGTAATTGATTCACATAATCTCGGAGTTACAATTGCTTAAGGGTAAAGCATCGTATCAAGGAGGTTACTTGGATATAATTTATTACCTTACTTTGTTAACTTAATTGCTATAACTATTGAATTGATTGTTGATTCTAACATTTGTTGGGACCCCGTAATTAATACAAAAATTGTGATAGATTAAATCAATAAATTAGGTTCAAATATCATTAGTGGTCAAGGAGTTAAGTAAAAGAATGGATTAAAGTGCCACTATTTAGTTTGGTCACGTTGATAAAAAAAAAATAGCTTAATGGTCAGGGAGTGTCAGAGCTAACTTATGCGCACTTAAATTAATCTCTTCTTTAGTTCGGTCAAATGTAAGTCATCCACACTAAGATTAGAATATTCGTGAGAGATAAATTTCTCATGACCTGAACCCAAGAAATTTATAAAAAAATATTTACATTAGTGGACTAGTTGCAACTGCAAACTTAACCTCGTACAATGTGATTACTATTGTATTTGAATTTACAATCTTATGATTGTTAATTCGCTACTTTTATTTAATCTGACAAATGATACAAAAACGGTGGGTTTTTTTTTTGTCAAGTAGAAGAAAGATCACACTCATCCATCTAAATCATCTAGTAACGACATCTAAATAATTGCTAGGTCGTCCTGGTAAAACTCCATTAGTAATTTGGGGAGTACTACATTTGAAAAGATTAGTCTTGCTTGTGTCACATTGCTCGCATGATTTTCGGTAAAGGTATTATTCGTGTCATGTTATATTCGAAATGTATCATTTCAGGACTATTAATTTATTATATTTTGTTAACGGATCATATTATTTATAGACAATCGATCATAACCTAACTCAACATTGCAGATTCAAGTAATATAAACATGTTAGAGTGGATTTTACCCATTGTGTAGCAGTGTTATGTGATATGCACACCCAACGAAAAATTACAACACAAGTTGGTTTTTTNAATGTATCATTTCAGGACTATTAATTTATTATATTTTGTTAACGGATCATATTATTTATAGACAATCGATCATAACCTAACTCAACATTGCAGATTCAAGTAATATAAACATGTTAGAGTGGATTTTACCCATTGTGTAGCAGTGTTATGTGATATGCACACCCAACAAAAAATTACAACACAAGTTGGTTTTTTTCTCAAAATTATTTTGACACAGCAATGAATGAGAAGTTTTTTTTTTTTTTTTGGGAATGTACAACTTTTGATTAACTATGTACATCACCCGACACTTTCAAGTGGTGTGTTAAACCTACATAAAAATTTCTGGTTCTTTAACACTGATTTTACACCCTTCTAGAATTTGTAAATCAGAGTTCATCCTCCATTCCCTGTTCTTTAACTTTCTTGTAATCATTGCAATGGAAAACGAAATGCAGTTTCTTTAGCTCCTTCAATGATAAAATTTCTCAGCCAAAACATACAAGGAAAAGAAAATGAAAAGTTTTCCACAAGGAAATCTTTTTTTTTTTACCCTTGGTAAAATTCTCCTTTGAAATTTCATAAGAGACCTGATATATATAGTAAGGATGTTTTGATGTATATCTAGGATTATCCATGCAATACACGATAAATATTTACTTTTTTTACGAAGATTAAAATGTGAGTAAGTAGATTTACTGTAATTAGAAATTTAAAACTTAAAATGGTAAAAAAAATTTGTATTTAAAAATTAAAATGTACCTAGTAAGACAAATTGTCTGATCCAAACAGTCTAAGCCATTAGTTTGCTTTCTTTTTAAGAGTTTTGTATTTTATTAAATAGATTTACGTTTTACCATTGTTTTTCTTCCTTTTTTCTCAGCCAAATAAAAAAAACTGCAAGCCATTATTTTTTTTCTTCATTTTTAAATTTTGCAGGGGGGTCCATAGGGTCAATTAATTGTTTCTTCTGAATAGTTTTGGAATTGGGATATTCAATATTGCATTTTTACTTAATTTTTCTCAACCTATAAATAGGGCCGACTCAATAAAAATTGGTGCCTAAACGAAAAAATTAGATGCGGCCTTAGGAAAACTTTATATTAATATACTAATAATTTAACTAGATTTTTATTTACAAATCAATTTTTTAAGCCGTAAAGTTAGTAAATAAGCTTTTATATTTAAGTATTGCTAATGGGTGAGTATGCTACCAACGATGGTACCTACGAAAAATTAAAACTTTTACTTACCAATCTTTTGTTTGGTAAGTGACGTAAACACATGCAGAATGCACGACTTAATCACAATTATAACCAAATATTTGTCATGTAATTAACTAAATTTTCCTACCCAATCCTTTATAATTGAGTAGATTAGAGATAGAAAGGTTTTTTCACCATATTTTCCTGGGTTGGCTGATTTGAAACCCACTCCTCTTTAGGTTTGTTGAAACCCATATTCATGGGTTTAACCTTCATGTATGGTTACGTGCCAAAATCTGAGTCCAGATTTAAAAGTTTTAATCAAATTTGAAATTAAGTAGTTCGTTAGACTATTTTACTAAAACTCTTTTTGGCATACCCTCTCAAACCCATCAAACAAACAAGTCCTTGGGGGTATCAAGATCAATTCTAAAATGCTAGGATTGATTCTAAGTATCCTAGAAAGTTGTAATTTAATCCCAAAACGATGTGAGTTTAAAAAAAAATATCTTTTGAGTTGACAAGAAATAAGAGATATATAAAGGGAGAGAGTATCAATATTGCAGAAAATTCACACTCTATAGCCCCTGCACCCTCTGAAATAGGTGGCTGCCTAGTTAGAAAATCTGCCACTGCCAAGTTGATTGAATGGTGAAAAGATTTATTAGGTTTGGTAATATGGCTGACATATGGGGTCACAAATATATAAAATACTGTCTAAAATACAAGTTATNTGGCTGCCTAGTTAGAAAATCTGCCACTGCCAAGTTGATTGAATGGTGAAAAGATTAATTAGGTTTGGTAATATGGCTGACATATGGGGTCACAAATATATAAAATACTGTCTAAAATACAAGTTTTNTTTGGCATACCCTCTCAAACCCATCAAACAAACAAGTCCTTGGGGGTATCAAGATCAATTCTAAAATGCTAGGATTGATTCTAAGTATCCTAGAAAGTTGTAACTTGANTTTGGCATACCCTCTCAAACCCATCAAACAAACAAGTCCTTGGGGGTATCAAGATCGATTCTAAAATGCTAGGATTGATTCTAAGTATCCTAGAAAGTTGTAATTTAATCCCAAAACGATGTGAGTTTAAAAAAAAATATCTTTTGAGTTGACAAGAAATAAGAGATATATAAAGGGAGAGAGTATCAATATTGCAGAAAATTCACACTCTATAGCCCCTGCACCCTCTGAAATAGGTGGCTGCCTAGTTAGAAAATCTGCCACTGCCAAGTTGATTGAATGGTGAAAAGATTTATTAGGTTTGGTAATATGGCTGACATATGGGGTCACAAATATATAAAATACTGTCTAAAATACAAGTTATCATATATTTCAAAGGATGAGACTTTCTATGCTATAAATAAATAAAACAATAGGACTGAGACAAAACAAAACCAAAATAGAATGCTTCTGTATTTATAATTATTTATTCAAAAAAAAAAATGGGGCCCTAAGCAGGTTTCACATTTGAGCCGGCCCTGCCTATTCATTGTAGTTGATTAAATATTGTTTGAAATTAAATAAAAGTGTATTAAAAATTATCTGAATCTACTACTTTTGATCAAGAAAACTAAACCAAGAAAAAAAAAATAGTATGTTCTGTCTATTTTGATTGAACCCCTCNAAAAATTATCTGAATCTACTACTTTTGATCAAGAAAACTAAACCAAGAAAAAAAAATAGTATGTCTGTCTATTTTGATTGAACCACCCACCACAAACCCAAATTGATATTGAAATTGCCCCCAACAACTTTTTTGTTTCTTGCTTTTTAAATCATGGGGGACAACCACTTTGAGAGTTATTAGTTTCACGTGGAGGTTTAAACAAACAAAACTCACCAAAACTTGAATCCTACGCTGACTTTGTGCATTCAAAAACATAAACTCCCTGACCTAGACTAGCACAAATTCATCTAAAATTAGCAACACCCCTTCAACGCCCCTTGAAAATGCCATAAACTAGCAGCTCTAACCTAACCAGTTGCATGAAAACCAGCAGCGTTTTGTTTGACACCTAAATTTGGACTTAAAACATCAATGTCTCTGATTCTTCTATTAGCATTAACTCAGCTTTGGTTTCTTTCTCCTGGCAACCTTTGTTCTTTAGATTTTGGGTAATCGAGAATCATCTCAATCATACGTTCCTTAAATTCATGGTCATGATGTAAGTTTTAGATGCATGTAAGATCACCTCCAACCTCATTTAGTCATCACCAATGAAAACTTTGTATAGCAAAATCTGGAGTTACAAGATATTGATTTAATCAATAATTAAATCACTTTATATTACTCATGTTTGATTAAAAATGAATAGCCCAATGCACGTAAAGTTTAATAAGGTTAGGTGTATGACAACTTAGACGTGAAGTGACGGTTTTCAAGCGCAATGAAAATTATATAATAAAAAAGAGTTGTCACCGTAACCAAAAATTCAGATTCCAATAGAAAGAGTTAGAAACTATCCTTGTTGAATAACTAGAAAATATGTTTGTGAATGGAAAATAGAACCAAA